AGAATAGAATTTTGGAAGAGTGACTCTTGAGGTTGCGGTTGTTGTTCCCGTACTTGGTCAATAGGTCTATCAAAAAACCACAACACACGGTTCATTATTAGAAATCTCAAAAATTTTGTTAGCTCAGCTCGTCGTCAGATTTTTATCACCATCAAAAAATTAAATTTTTTGATGGTCACTCGTCAAAAAACCGTCAACTTCTAAATTTTGTCACAATCACCGTCGAAACACTGCCATCAGAAAACCGTTACCATAAAAAAAAAAAAAAACTAAACTTCTGTTGGCTCGTCTTAAAAAAATTTTCCTTCAACTCGAGAGGAAGCAAACTTGCCAAACACACATTTTCACAAATCACTGATCTCATATCATTTGTAAGTCCGAAATATGCAAGATAGCCATAGCCAAACAGTTAGACAGATAGATAAACAAACACAAGACATAACCAGTTTAAACATACAATATACACAGAATACTACGAGATGATACGTTATTCAACCTTCGGAACACTACTTCCACGGAGAAAGCATAGTAATGACCGTGTGTACTAAAAAGTCTTATTGTAATACACAAACCGTAAGGTTAAATGCCCCAACACCTAACACCCTTCTAACTATTACTAGCTAGTAACCGAGGTCACAACTCAACAAAAGTCAATATAAATAATTCACATTGAAAAACCAACATATTGATGAAAAATACAAAAACAATATTTGATAACCATAAAAATACCCAAAAAAAACTTGTGTATTAGCCACTCTCACAATCAAACACGCAGTAAGTATACAAAAATGTTGATTGATGTTTGTGTAATTTAATTCTTATATTTTAGTCAGATTATAATAAATTCACATATCAAATTTCAGGCACAATTGTCTTAAGATCAAGTTCACTTTCATACTTATTCTTTAAAAAGTAAATATTTTCTTAAACTTAAGATTGAGATAAAGTTTGTCATGAAATTTGAGACAAAATTCAAAGCAAGCTACACAAAGTAAACAACTATTCTTGAAGGTTTAGCTAGCGCTATACATTAATTTCATAGGTAATGTTTCATCATACATATGCATGCTTTTCTATAAATAAAACTTTTGTATGTTTTGCACTACCACAAAATGAGTAAAACAATACATATGAAATTTAATCAAAAAAATTTATATTTTCTTCAATAAATTCTAAATTGAACAGCAATACATTACAACTTCAAAAAATCTTGTTCTCATATTTTATCTATAAAAATCCTCTTTCCATTTCAAGAGTGACAAATCGTTTTTAATCGTTGTAGTGCTTGAAAATGTAGATGCTTATACTCTAAAGAAGTAAAATAAGTTGAAAAAGATGTACTTAATGTTTAGATTACTCCAAGCCTCACTAAAGTTATGTTGTTAAGGCAGATTAAGCTATTGTGGAGTCATTCATTGCGATCAAAAACTATTGTATTGTTCCACTATTTAATCAATGTAATTTTGTTGATAAGAAACTACCCACCAATCTTGATAGTTCAAAACTTTTTGAACAACTTCCAATGTTTTCAACGCTATAAGTTACTGAGGTAAGCAAAAAGGCAAAATGTTGACACTTGCATGGTTGATCTACTTTTATGATATTTCAACTATGCTCAAGTTCTTTGTTTCAAATCCATGATGAGACTTACTAAGTTGGTCAGAGCTTGCTCGGTGTTCAAATAAGCAAGAGAATCAGCCTTATTTGAATTTTATTGATCTGATTCAAGCTTTCTAGAAGAAGTGCACACTGCTATTTGTTGCTCAAGCTCGCTATTGGCAATTATCAGTTGAATATCTTGTGCAGAATTTTCTCATCACACAATACATACATACAAGAAATTCGGAAAAAGATATTGTACTTGGATTGAACATGGTCCATCGTTCCATGTTGTAAAAACAGGAACATTTTTTTCAAGGTTACAATCATAATGATCACAACGATTGCAGTTGCAAATCCAACTTAAGCTCCTACTGTAAAGACCATCATGAACACACCATGGAATACAAACTCCAGAAATCTTTTCGTTCAGTACTAGCACCGAGATGAAAATCATCACCGGAACTAAAAGTAAATGATTTACAAATCTTGTTGATGAAATTTCCACACTGTTTTCAATTTCCATGCATAAAAGATCAAGAACAACAATTTCTCCTAGCTCGGCAGAATTTGTATATCTACAAGTTTGTAAGACCTTTGAATATGTCCAAATCTGCTGATGCTTCTCTAGTAAGTTAATTGTTTGAAACATCCAACAACGTTAGTGTTCCCATCATGTATTTTTCCCTTTTATGAGTGATATCATTTCCAAAAACTTGAATGATACTTGGTTCCTCACTTTGATGATTTCTTGAGTTTTTTTGTCCACGTTGAGTTGTAGATCATCAGGATATGAATTCAAATTATGGAAATTTGACATTGCTCCAAAACATTGATTCACTCAAACCTATGAACTTCATACATAATAGTTCAAAATGTGACTGAAAAGAGTACATTTAGTCGGTTCCGTTGACGAATAACAATTCCAAAGGTTCCTTTACTAATCTATGTCTACCTAATAGCTACTCTTTGAAAAAAAACTAAAATAACCACTACTTCTTTTCTATCTTAAAAGCAGCCAACTCATACATTTGTTCAAAATTTGCCATCCAAGTCGCTTTCATGCCATAGCACTTGGTCAATAATCACTTCAACTCATTTCTCATGGCATATTTGCTTTTGATATAAAGACATATAGTTTTGTCATGTTTGACAAAAGCATCAAAAGACTTCGAATTCTACTCTAATGAGAGCTTTTGATATTCTCTCATCTGATTTAGTGGCTGATGTAAAGTGTAGTTATCTGTTTTGAAAAAATAATACCCAAATGCCCAAGAAATTGACAATTTTTTAGCGCTTATTTCGCGTTCAAAACATACACAAAGTTGACATACAACAGCAACATCTTTGCAAACTTGAGTAATCATCAAATCACAAGATGCAATGTAGAGACCAGAATCCACAACAAATAGCAACTACTTTGGAGAATTGAATATCATAAGATGCAGTGTAAAAATCATATTGTAAAAGGTGTTTCATCTGAAGTGCCATCTAGATAGAGGGCGAAGACTCTAGCTTTGCATTTACGTTTTTCACCGGATTTAGTGCAATACATCTAAATTCAAGAATGTGACAAATGATCAAAATTGCATGCTCTAGCTTTGCTAGACGTTTTGAAACATGTTTAGTACAATCCATCGGAGTTGAGGAATGTAACAAATCACCAAAATAACAACTAAATGAAATAATCTTGCGAAAGATTTTTCAACCTAAAAATAAATATAAGATACTTAAATAGATTTCAACAGCGTGGCATAACTAGAAAGTGATAAACTATCACTTTCTAAGTGTAGTTTTAGTTCAAGAAATGTTATATATATGTATATATTTTTTGAAATAAGTCATGGAAGGGAAATGCAAAATGTATGGAATCTATGACACGAAGTTTTGTATTTAGAGAATCTTGAACAAATATCAAATGGTTTGTATTCAATTGACATAACACATAACAATTAAAAGTTTGACTGCATTCAATACGATAATGTGAAATTGGCTTATAAATCGAAATTTCTATCTTTGATGAAAAAATTAAATACACCAACATTTTAACTCAAAACTTATCAAATGATTTGTTTCTATACTGTAATGATGAAGAAATGAAAACTTACTCTAGTTTTCTCAAATGATGAAACAAAATTCATAAATTAAGTTGTTTACATTGATTCGTATTTGTGTGAATGTTTAAATTTTACCTACATATTTTCCGGAGTAGTCGACAATTTGATAAATATATCAAAGTTTTGAAAGTAACTTTAGTCAGATATTACGCAAAGAAACTTTATCAGACTACGATTATTTATTTCATACATAATAATTACAATTCATTTCAAGCAGATCATGATTTATGGTATATCTTTATGCACAAAAACTAGTTTATTGCAAAGCTTTGTTTTCATATTCATTTCCGCTCTTCAAGCCGCAAGTTAAAGAGATTATTATAAGTATATCATTTTTCTCAGGAATTCTGCATTCCAAAAGAGAGTATCACAACTTGACATAATCGATGATTTTCGTGACGTCAGAAAAATAGATATAGTAATAGTTCCATAATTCCGAGTTCCAAACTTCTAGATGATGTAAGCAGTTGTGGTTTACTTAACTTCGATTACAGTTATCCAAATGCAAGTGAAAGTTGAAATCAATCTGCAATATATGTCATTGCATCATGCAATGACAAAATGTCATTATATGATCAGCTAATTTTACTCCCCAAATTTGATTCGTAAAGAATGGTTAGCGTATTGCTTTCAAAAACACTCGCAACTAGAGTCTTCGTTCCACAACTTCAATTCAATCGTAATATATCATTGTTCGATTGTGCTCAAGTAGAAATGAACCATAACATATGATCCACTATTTTAACGACAAGTATTAAGATTACCAAATGATTTAAAATATCATAAACATGTAGATGATGCTTGTACACATGACTCCAAAAGAAAAATAAGATGTCACCACTAGAGTGGAATGTATACTCTCAAATATGAACACAAATCATCTCCCCCAAAAGTGAGCTGATTGTCCTTACAGAATGATTGCATAGAACAGTATAGTATATATATACATTTATATATGAAAGAGATTTATGTCCTATCTTTATATGAACTAATCAGCTGGCAAAAACAAGACAATTCTATTTCAAATTAGAGATCTAGAAGACAATGACAACTGATATATTCTTATACAACTCTCTGACAAGTCAAACACACTCATGAAAATCTCTAATTATTAAAGCTTCCATGTGAAATTTACTTCTACTCTCCAAATGTCTGCAAAGAAATCTCGCAATCTACGAAGGGTGAGATCCTCCTCAGCTTTCACATGATCCAATCTTTCTAGAATGATAACCTCTATTTTACAATGACTTAGAGCTGTCACACCACTAACTATGAATAAGACGGTAGAGAATAATTTTCGACCACACTCAGCTCTGTCTTCCAAAATGATCTAACCTCTAATAGAATCCCATAGATAGATATACACCCACTCCCATATACAAAAGCCACAAACTGCCTAAATATGATCTCGCTTTACACTGTAGTATAGTTTGGTCAACGCTGCAGAGATTGAAACACCTTGGCAACTTCACATTCACTGCTTAGCATATTTCACATGCCTATAACCATACAGCTTATCATTCGGCAGGACTCAATAGTAGGGCGTCATCATTTTCTGCTTTGTAATGAGAACATCATGAGCTACTCACCACAGTAAGAAAAGCGCCATGCTTCCTAGCATTCTCAATTGCGCTCTTGAATCAGAAGGAAGATACAAGACTATAGTAGCCGGCTGAATTCTCTAAACCCATATGCACAAATATTTTAAGGCACAATAAATCTACACTAAGGTACTCCGGAGGTATCTACGAATGAATTAGCTGAAAAACAAACCCTACCGACCAGCCGAGTGAGGCTGTCTTTTTACAACACTAGTCCCGTCCAGTTGCCTTCCTACCTGTAAGAAGCCGTTGAATAGAGAGACCCCTGCTGAATGCTTCGCTGAAGAGTATGCGGGTTTGCATAGCCTGCAGCCCCGGTAACCAGGAAAGAACGACAACTGGAGTCATGACACATATGCCCATGCCCATCTCATAGAGTCGCGCCACGCCTGTCACCATGGGCCAAACTGGAGTATTTTCTAAGAAAGGTCGTCTAAGAACCAAGCAAATCGACAGCACTCCCCACCCAGTAGGTACAAATGCCAATATACTCGTAAAAATGTCCCAGATTGAGAAGTCTGTAAACACAAAAAGGAGAACTACTGCTAGGACCAAAAAGCAGATTATAAAAGCCTGAATTCCCCGGTACTTTCTGTGTCTCTTTGCCCCGTACTTCTCGGCAGCGTGCGATAAGATTAAGTGGATCAGTCCAGCAGCGAAAAGGTATGTCCACGAAATAAGATAGACAACGATGCTGGTACTGCCACTTGAGATCTTCAGTCGGTACACAATACCGTATTGGAAGAAGAAAAACCGGAGACTCAATATAATTTCTAAACATTTTCCCCAAAATCCAGTTGACTGAAAATGCTCTTGTTCTTCGTCCCACCATTTCTGCCAGCTGTCCTCACCCTTCACGAACACTCCGCCTTTGTACCATACCCAAGTCATGAAGTCGTCAAAATCGTCCACTGACTTCAACCAGTCGAATCCAGATGGGTTGAACAGAAAAGGTGCGAGAATCCAGGTTATACCCAAAAACCAGCAAGAGAACGTCGTAAGAATATAGGTAGTCGTATTTCTTATGGAGCCATACATTTGATAAACAATAAGCAGGATAATGATTTCAAGTCCTTTCACGAAATGGCTTCGCGCATACAGTCGGTAGTTATCAGAAAACTTCTCGTGTCTGACAACAAATCCACGTCCAGTTGCTCTGTACTGCAATGCCAAAACACCAAACGAAGGAACAAAAGTATAATCAGCGCAAGATAGATATCTCTAACAACTTCGCTCAGCAACCAAGTTGATATAATCATTAAAGCATATGTTCGTCGAGAAAAAAAACTTTGTGAGTGTCAAGTTAAGAGTTTGAGAGTCCCTTAACAACGACAGCGCAGAAAGAGGACGAAGAAGACCAAACAGTTAACGAAAAGCATGAACCCTATTATCCGATATTATCAAGCAAATCCGAAGAGAGAATATGTAACTGTACCTTGGCACCACCATGAAGTATAGTCCGACCAAAGTAATGAGTCCTTGTACCCATGGAAAACGTGAAAAAGACGGAAGCCAACTGAAGCTGCATAGTGAGAAATTCCCATATGGCGAGGAGAAAGCCTTTCTCAAGGGAATTTTCAACAATCATGGGAAGGGCAGTAAAGACACCCATCTGTACTACAAACTGCTGGTTCAGCGCTGCTGTAAGAGCCCCGTTGGCAGACGAATCCCTTGTGATGGACACCTCAATTCCGCTGAGAGCCAAGTAAACTCGGCCCCAAAGATACGCATATACGGTCAGGACCACGATCATGTTGTTCACAAAAAACCCCACGGTTGTGTAATAGACTGAAAGCATGCGGAAGAAATCGACACGGTGGCCAAGACGGTAAACATCTCGACTCAGCATTTGTTCACCATTACCACTTGCAACTTTGGCTTCGAAGAGAGCAATTTGATTTAACCCGACATCCCGACCCTTGCCAACCTGGAAAATAAGCCAATATATTTCTCTGATTAACTGCTGTGAAGAGAAATAGATGAAGCAGTAGATTGGAACCATGATGCCATGATGGATGCACTGACCAAGAAGACAAGAGAATAAAATTTTCGGCTGTCATTCAAAGTCTGAATAGAATATGAAATAACAAAAGACGGTATCCACGAATCACAGTCCAGATTGATATGTGTTTGTAAAAGAAATGGTTCAGGAATACGTTACTTGAATGTACTCGTGATGTGTAACAGTAGCCCCTCGTAAGGTAGCGTTGAAACCGGCAAAAATATCCTCACTAATGTTGATGACCCTCGAAGCTTTGCTGAGACCGCCTCGAGTGATAAACCATAACCGATCAAAGACATCCGGATGACCGTAATGCATACGGACTTTCAAGGGCTTAGCAAGAACGCGTTGACCGAGGGTGACGAAACTCGTTTCTTGCGCCGACATGAACCATGCTAGCGAGGAAACTGCACCAGTAAACACATGCTCACGAACTCCCAGAATTGCAGGCCTCCGACGACCGTGGAATTGTTTAAATTCCTGCAGTAGATTTCTCATTTTCAAAGCTTCTTCAAAATAGTTTTCCTGATACACAGAGCCACACATGCCAGTCGAACAAGGCAGTCAATTTTATACCAAAGATAATATTCACAGAACACAGAATATAGATACGAACATCCGTCTCCTACAAATATAGTGGTGATCGTAACAGAAAAAGCCTAAAACTTTCTTCATGGCCGATGGCTGATAGTGCCATTATCACGGTACACTGCTTTCACTACCATTTGGTACGGAGGAAGGCTAAACGTGTATCTCCAACAACTGTCAGTTCTAAACCCTAATCGACGGTCATCAGGAAAAAAACTGAACGAAGTCCCCGAAAGTGGACAGTTCTCAGGGAAAAACTTGATCACCCTACCTGGTTCATGTCAATGGTCTGAACGGCATCACCCCTTGTGAAGATCAAAGCATGATTTTGATTCTCAGGCTTTCCTTCACCCAACTTGAAATCTCCAGGTAGTTCAACCCGGTAAATCTCCACTTCTTCTTGACGCACTTGATCATACTTGATCAACACAGAGGCATACCTCTTTGGATCCTTATCGCCCAGTCCCGGCTTTTCATCGACGTAGGCAACTCTTAAAGCTTCCCACGTCTTCATCAAGTACAGTATATCCTTGGCTTGCTGTTGACCTTTCGCTTTCTGTATTCCGTAAATTTGGCATGCGACCACATATGTATACTTCATTGCAGCGGTGGCTAAATCCTCCTCTCGTTTATATGCGTTGTAGTTCCTTCCTTCTTTACCCTCCGTGAAACTCGACGCAGAATGGAGAGAACCTTCCCTTGTTTCGCCGTTAAAAGAACCTTCCCTTGTTTCACCGTTAAAAGGGTCCACACCACCAGAGGTTCTCTCCATGAGCTCCCGGTACCCTTCGAGTATATCATGCTCCGAAGCATGGTCTAGAAACGCTAATTTTTCTAAAGCTCTGTTCAATAAATGGCAGGTGCAATTCCAGGTTACAAAGATGAGAACAAAGTAGGGTCTTGGCACAAAAAAAGTTCTCTATTCTCGAAGCTACTATAGCTGAATTTAGACTTTATATACAACGTCTTGAAAGAAGTATCCAGAAACAGTTTCGGGAACCAACCTGTGGTAGTACATCATACCCCGAACAGTTCGAGCAAGTGTCTGTCCTCGATAAGAAGCCCAGAGACGGAGCTCCAGCCCATCATCCAACTCCCACATGTCAAACTCCGTACGGATACCATGCCTTGCCATACGTTCTTGAAAATTCTCCCAATCATCTATTCACATACAAAATGTTGCAAACCAAGAAATATTACGTCAAATAACAGTAAAAAAAACTAGATAGGAGTCATTAATATTATTGGCACGAACTTAAACAGAGCTTGCATATTCAGTCATTGATCATAAATGCATCTCTCTAAAAAACAGTTGTTTCTTACACATCATATGAATCTAATGGCATTACCTTTGAAGATCTTTTGAAGATAGAACAGTATGGAAACACCATCCTCATTTTCAGTGATTAGTTGCTTCTTGTGGTACATTACATCCTCCGAATAGTAAGGTGTCAGAACACTGAACGCCAACATTTTTTCCACCTGAAACAAGAGGCCATCAGAGTCCGTTTTAAAGGGTACTACTTTGCAATCTGATCAAACTCCTGTCGTGAACAAAAGGCAGCGTTCTCGCTGGAAGTTCCTATTGGGAACAGATGAGGAAGAACTGTTAAGGGGTAGGAGGAAGTGAAGTGTCAACCAATGCACATTGGCAATTTAGTGGAATATTTTGCTGCTTGAGGTAAGTTAGATGTTTCGGACTCAACCCATAAACCCGTTCAGGGTATATAGGGTAAGCGATGTACACAAACAAGAAGCCAAAAAACCCTCTTTTGTGGATAATCACTCATTTATTGAAAAACGCTTCTAGTTTCATCTAGAATAGTTACGAGCAAGTACCCAGCACAGGCAATGGAACCTCTGAATCAAATCACATGCAGATTAAGAAGGTAGTCACATGCCACATGCGGCCGACATTGATTAACTCATTCCTTCTACAGTACGTACTCAGGAACATCTCGTTCAAATTGGATCCAACCATGAAGATGGTCCATCCTTGTCAAAAACAACCAATGTTAGTTAGCTTCTACCCTCAGTACACATATAAGATGTAAGAGCTCCTGCTCATGACCCATAAAATCCAGAACTGACGATAAGAAAGACATCGAAGATAACGTCAGACAAAATTTGTTCCAAATAGAAAGAGGGATACACTGCCGGACATGTAGTCACATGAAAAGTATTGGAGAATAAAATAAGGAAGCGCATTATAACAGCATTGTGTGAAAGAAGATGACATCAAAAGAACTAACAATGAAAATACCTGTGGAGCACGGGGCATGGTCATAAAAAGTGAGTTACTGAAGAATGATATGCGGCGCTTGGCCTCCAAATTTCTGGGCACATCCAACAGCGCTTCTCTTGTGCTTAGTGTCGTTTGTACTCTCCTCAGCTGATCAAAGAAAGTATTCTCCGTAACATCGGGAAGGTCGACAGCGTCAACAAAGAGAAGTGACGATGTTGAACTCATCTCCCTCCAGTTCCGGCCCAACTCCTGATCTTTAGGAAAGTCGCGAAGCAAGTCTTCATACAAGTTTTGCAATGCGTCAACAACCTGTAAGTATGAACGTCTTGATCAGTAAATGCCGCTAAACACTGAAATAGACCCAAAAAATCTGTTAAAGAGACAGTTCGGATTTCTCTTCATATTTTGTCATCCATGTGAGGAGAATACTTAGCGCTCACCTCTGATCAGAGCGAGATGAAAAGTAAAAAATATTCAAGTGCTCTTAACAACTCAGGCGACTCTCTATGTCAAAGACCCCTAACTATTCAAAAAACTTATTCGCCTAAAAAGAGATTTCTTTCCATTATGTATGTCCCCAAATCCGCTCATTTCAAACGCTGAGATTATAAAGATATGAAGGTTGTTACCGATTAACAAACTAGGAGAGCTGATCTACCCTCGAGTCGTCACAAGCGTACAGGAGTCGAGATCAACGATCAAAAGCTAATTCAGCCTACTCACAGCTACTCAGAATGAAACATTAAAGAAACCCTTCAAGGACTGCTCGATAAGATGAGAAAGGCTTAAAAGACGTCCCTGCGTAAGGTCAACTTGAGTATGGTAATAAGAAAAGAGAAAGAACTATGCCTTCTGTAGATCATTCAAAAGTGGTCGCTTCATAAGGACGTTAATCAGCTGCACGAGTCGTGAATGAATATTCGGTAAGGCCTTCAGGCTAAATCGCTGTACGAACTGCTTCTCCTTGATTGCTTTAGTTATCTCCTCAAATATTTCTTGAAACATTTGATACTCCCCACTATCTTCTCGTAATATCCTTTTCAGAACATGCCGTATGCTCTCGTACGACTCTACTACTGCACAACGCCTGTACTCGTTACTGGCAATCTTCTTCCACAAGCCATGATCGGTATAATACCAATCCTTGCAAAGACCAAGGGCAATCAAGACCTGCAGAAGAAGATAACGAAGAAAGGAGCTTGTCACCAAGAAGTTCAGGAAATTAGAATTGAAATCCAGGAAGTAGCTACGATGCGAGGGCAGATTATATGTACCTCGTTCGAGATCAGAACTGAGGGCCACTGGGTCACTGTTATGTTCCATCTTGAAGAAGGCATACTGAGGAGTTCCAACTCCCTGGAGTACGGGGTACACGATTCAGTATAACAAGAACGACTATCGTCCTTCAACCAATACTTTGGCATCCATGAGTAAGTTCTGCTTTGTGATAGAGTACTCCAGATAGTAAACAGTCATCAAATTAACACTCTTAAATGAGAATGTACTTCAAGAGAAAAAAGTTTCATGAATGATGTAAAATACCTGTCACTTATCAAATCTTCCTCCCGAAATATGAGAATTATTTCGTTCCACACATGCCGAAATCTTCCCGTCTCCATAGTTTTCCCTTCCGCCTACATCCAGACGATTCAGCAACAAGCAACACTGCCTTGTGAATGCCAATTCGATCGATCCACGTCTCCCATGCAGGTGCGTTTAGCCATTATCCAGTCAGACGTTCTGGTGAGGTTTAAACAACGTACCTGATGTCCCTTCACAACCCCGTACCGGAGTTTTACACGCCTAGCAAGGTTCTTCACTTTAACCCACCAATCGTTACACTTTGCCCTCCATGAGTAAGGCCTGCACAATAACAATTTAAGTCATGCCTCTAAAGAAGGTCTCCTTTCTTTATCCATTTCATTACAAAATTGTATTCGAAAGGCTCTGTGGATCCCTAAAGTTCAGAAGGACGTAAGGCCAAATCAAAACCAAACGGAAAATGTCATCGTTATATACTTACTTTGAATTTACAAATATATCCTCTGGCATGAGATTGAACTGAACAGCGACAGGAAATATATGAAATCGAGCTTTTAGCTGAGCTGCGTTCCGGATCTGCATGCAAATACAGCCTCTCCAATTTCTTAGTCTCAGCCTATCCACTAGCATCCGGATTTTGAAGATATTCAAATATGAAACGCACATCTTCGAGAAACATATTGCCGTTTTGTGGTAGATTGACAAGTCTACAGACAAACCTAGCGTACTACAGATCTCTGAGGAACATAGCAAGGCAGAAGAGCTTCGAGAATATAGAATCTGGATATGGAGCAGATTCCTGAATCTGGAATATGGAACAGATAGACCAGTAATCTAAGGGTACCTCAGATGCATGGAGATTCATAGTTTAAGAAATGTCTCACGGTGTAAACCATGATACATTGCGCTTGGTGCAGTTATTATACCTAACCATGTGTTTTTACTTTTGTTTTCTAAAATTAAATGAATAAATGTAAAACTCCAAGAAAGAAACATAGAAGATTCATATAAGTTACTTAAAGGAAAATGTCCTGAAGAACTCCAACGAAATTATTAAAAAAATTATTATAAAAAAACAAGCAATTTTCATACTTATTTCTCCTAAAATAGTTATTGGTTTAATATTTATATAAGGAAATTTGCCCCAATAAATAAACGTAACAAAAAAAAGAAGGAAAAAAGATGTAACCATTAGTTGTTGGAAAAGGGTAAAGCACGCGTAATACCTCTCCGAGATGTGCCAGCAAACCAACTAAAGCTCCCACCAGGGCAGAAAAGACGGAGTACCAAATTTGCAGATCCATGAAATATATCTGCGACAAAATAGACAAATCAAAATTATATTTTACGCTTCGAGAGAATTAGATACCTTCACAAACCAACATAGCCACAAAATAGATAGTTGAGGCATCAACTTAAAGTAGACGCATTTAGTACATGAAGACAAACTACAGAAACAACTAGTCAAGCAGTCCATTTAGATAAAGGGGTGCTGTATCAGGAATTTGATCCTCAAGTGGGTCTAAGATCGTAATTTGACCCACTGGTGAATGATTTAAAAACGTAAATACTTCTGAACACTGAGTAGCCAAGATTCATTATCCTTCGTAGAAAACATACAGACTCAGTAGTGCTTCGAAAAATGAGTTAACTTCGTAGTCTGCACGACAGCTAAAATGAATGACAAACACCAATAACAGATAACTATGGGGAACTAAGTTGAACTTACCAACACGACGGGAGCCCACATGGCCAATGTAGCTGTTCTGTTGGCTGCAGAGATATACAATCGATGTGAAAGTCAAAAGACTGCGAAGAAGAGGAATCGCAAAAAAGAAGTATGATCCAAGTGTAATAAATAAACTATACTCAGCAACACAACGACAAATCAACACGATCGGCCAAGATTGTGCACACCATTTTTGAAAAATTCATGCCATCTGTACTCTATGCCAGTTACATCAAGCGTTGCCCTCGTTGGTGCGACCAGGGGTAAGACCTGTAGACAGGTAAAGAAAAGTGATAAGACAAGTCTGAGAGTCCCACGTCTATGTCTTTTTGCCACCCACATCTAAGAGTCTAAGGAGTGTGTCCACGAACATTTAAAAGTGCCAAGTACATCGGCCTTCCACTAAAATTACACTCAGCTACAGTCAGCTAAAACTCCACTGATGCTCGCTCAGCTATCACATCAACAGGACTTCTTGAGAAACTCCGTGCGGAATCGCATTTACCTGAAGAAAGTAACTGAAACTGAACTTTGCGGTGAGAACACACAGCCAAAAGAGCGTATACCTGGACAAAGCCAGAAGTTATCAGAATACAAATCTTCCTCGGTAATAGAACATACGGACCATATGTTCAACAAAGATCAAAAACCGAATAGGCTGCCAAATTAACAACGCGCAATGTCACTCCTTCACCTCTATGCTTCATCTGCATAAAATATTCTCGTCGCAAGACGAAGGACAGAATACTACTACAGAATAATGAGACCTTGCAAAGTCCACATTTTAGCTTCACTGTCGCAGTACTTGACCATAAGTGCATAAAAGACGTCGGGGCTAATAAAGAAAGGTGACTGGGTAATGATGGAGAAGCGAAAACGGAATTTCCGCCACCATCAACAAAAAGGAGTTAACAAAACTAGCAACAAGAAAGACACAAGGAAGGCCCATCACATACTTGATGTTGTCAAAAATACTTTCTCGCAGTCCCCGTCCGACAAAAATATGACTCTGTGGGAAGAAAACGATGAATGTGGTCAAATTTGTAAAAAGACAAAGCATGGACTTCGTGTAGCGTCTTTTTTCGTACACCAGACTGGGATGAATATTCGTAGATTAGGGTTACGTTTTCCTAATTTGAAACGTCCCCAAAATCTTACCTGAAACCACCAAGTTAGCATCGAGAAGATTCGCCAGTCTCTAGTCTCAACAAAGTTGCGGATATACGGTAGGATGAAAAGCAGTAACGCGAGAGCCTCAGGAGTAATGAATACTGCACAGAATCCTAGGTACAGATAAAGTCCCTGCAGAGCCTTATCTGACCATAAACCATCGGCATTTCGTTGCGCCCACATGCGGCTAAGACCGAAGATGCACGAACAGAGCAACAGGCGTCAAGAAATCGACTTGACAAACAGTAAAAGAGGTAAGTTATCACGCGATAAGACGCCTCAAATTGCAAGCACAGGTAAGATATCCCAGATAACAAGATTCACTTCAGGTCCTAAGCATACAGCTGGTATCTAAAAAGGTTGGACCAGGCGAAAGGGCTAAGCAATTTCAACAAAAGAAACTGCAAAAACGCATATAAAACCAACAAAGAAAACGTTTATATTATCGCAAGTCTCTGTACAAAGATCCCTTACCTGTAATAGATTGAAAAAAGCACCGTCCAGACGGCCCCCATTATTAATTTCAGTGTCATGCGCAATCCTACCATCACTGTCCCCGCAGATATGAGACTATACTGCATTCCGAAATCGAGAAACGCTGCATCAACAAGTTCCAAAATTCAGACATGAGTTAATAAGGTTCCCTAAATAAGCTGAGATAGAAATAACATTACACTACTCTTACAGCACCGAAGATATAGATCGCAAGGTACACAGAAAAATGTGCGAGAAACATTGACAAAAAAGACTCAGAACTTTTCCCGGTAGTCAATACTGATTCGAACGCAGAAAATTAATAAGATATATTGGAGAAAGAAAAGATCTACCAAATTCAACAACTCAATCAAAAACATCGATTACTGGCGATTTATTTTGACTCCTCTAGAGAACTGAGTCAAATAATTTTGGGATCGAAACTTTCACGTCTGAATGCTTCGTTACAGCATAATATCAACAAAACTCAAAACAATACTCATGGAAGAGGAAAATGTAGGAATTTAACGCTTCTTGTCGAAGTAACACTCACTGTCTAACCAAAACGAGATACTTATGATAACTACTACCTTAACTGGCAAACACGGTTTCTTCGGCGATTGTCAGATTTCGTTCCACGTGAATAAAAAGATGTACATATCTTGTAACTAAATCTAACGCTGGTGCTGTGATGAACACTTAAGGCTACGAATCAGGCCAACGCAAAACAAACACCATGCATTGGGCAATTGGTCAATAAACTATCCTACTAATAATCTTATTCTACATAAGAGTACCTTGGAGTACTCGCAGAGCCGACCACGTGATGAATATACTCAAAACATGGGCCTGAGAATCTCTTTGAGCAAGAATTGTCCAAGGTGCCTTTGCTGCGCCTGATTGTGTTTCTTGAGTACTTGGGGCCAAAGTATCTTGCGGGAGCTCTGCTTTAGCCCTAAATGCTACAATTATCAGTATCTGCACACATTACAAATTAAACGATTAAGAATATCTAAATACATGATCTCCGGTTGATCCCGCATGGAAGCTGAATATGTTTGACAACAAGAAATGTAAGACTTCCACAGTTCACATAAAAACTGTTGAATCATAGGAAAGTCCTGCCGCAATATCAATTTGTACTTGAAGGAACTGATAATAAGATTTTATAATAGATTGGCATATTTTTCTCCAAATATAATTTTCCTGCTTAGATATAAAATATCAATACAAATTTTGACTGCAAGCCTTGTGTGTAAACCAATCAGCTTCAAACAGTTCTTATGACACGCGATCCGCCGCAAGGGCTTCACACGCAAGGAGTCCGAATAGCATCAAATACATGACCCGCCATAGAGAATGAGCGCATCTATTCTTTCAAAGCGCCTCTTAAAGCTTTGACATCAGTTGTTAAGACATCGTATGTTTATCTCACCTGTAACATAAGTATAAGCCCGATCCACAATCTATCAAAGCTGCGATAAATATTCCAAAAGGACCTCTGCTCAACAAACCCAGTCTTCCCGACTTTATGCCTTGATTTATCCTGCAATGTGAAGGAAGCAATCAACTATGAATACTTGTGAGCTAACACAACACAACGTGATAACCATGCAAAATATTCATGAGGATTTGACAATAATAAACAACAGAGAACGAAACATGTATAGGAGTGTCGAGCATAAAAGGATGAATTCTTTGAATACGAAGAACCAAAGTTCTTCAAATACATGTTATACACAAGATGGGATACTAACCTAAAACATAACAACGGTAAAAATCCCATGTCCACATCACGCTCTTCGGATATTTCACATAAAACCGGAAGAAAAGGTAACAAAGTATACAGGAGGTACAAGGTTAAGAAATTACACAAAAATAACGGCAAATATGTTCAAGAGTAGGTGCTCAATACACGCACCTCAGGCTTAACAAGGTAGTTGCAAGACATCTCTAATGGCCACCGCAGTTGAGTCAAACATCTTTTACTCCTGTGCCATTTGAACTCAAGATCAGGCAACTCCAAGCTAAGGCAAATTTAAACAGTCCAATTCATGTGCTGAGGCTACTAATGTGGCGCTTGTAACGACAAATTCCATCTAACAGAAAATCTGGACACGTGATAAAGACGAAAGGAAACGACAGGTTCTCCACCAACAAACGGTTACGAAGTCTAGTTTCCTCACCAGAAATACTCATTCATATCATCGTAGTTTCTCCAAGCTGAATGAGGATTTTTCCCAGCTCGACATTCCGCTGCCTCCTGCATTCAAATCAATAAACATACCCAGGGATAGTGAACACCATCAGACGCCAAACCATTGTTCAATGACATAAATTAGTGCACTGAGAGGAATAACAACACAATCTCTCCCGTCCTAAAAAGTCAACTCAACTGGCAAATTTCCAACAGAAAGTCACTTACTGCTTTCACAACTGCGTATATAGGTCTGATAACTTTTTGAAGAAATCCATTTTCTATGCCCCCAGAAGCCGGTTGCATGTACTGACCACTATCATCGATGGATCTGTCAAGGATTCTATTGAGCTCACCGCACATCTGCAGAGGTAAGATCAATAGGATTAACACAAAATCGTCAATATATGACCTAAATGCATATCAAATTTGAATAAACTGTAGAGATTAAAAAATTATGAACATTTCAGATACACTCAACATCAATTACCAAAATTTCAACAAAGTGGAACGAAACGAAGAATAACGAAACTGACAACCTTTGTTTTCTGTTGTTCATGTTCTTGCAACAGACACTTACGTGATGAAATATGAAGCAGAGACATTCCGGCATAAAACGTAAGTTGGCAGCTTCTCCCCATATGAGCAAGTAAAGAGAAACATATAATAACTCCTTTTGCTCGTTACTTTCATGTCTCCGCCTAATGCCATGGTCCTCAATTTTCCTTCACGGACAGGAAAGACGTGTAAATGACTACCGAATGTAAACAACAACAACAACAACAACCCCAAATTCGGCATATTGAGTACATATTAGCAGTTCAACAACATTGTCCTGTTGTAATGGCAAACTAATACAATTTTCCAATTCCAAACCGTGCGAGGACCCTTCCAAAACGGTAATGTTCTCACTACAACTACCTCACAGCAAGCATAATGTAGACAAAAGATAGATCTTCATTAACAAACTTAGCTGTTATCATCTGTGTTCATATTTAAAAAAGGAAGTGATGTGCGAAGAACGGATCTGATATAATGGAAATGGTAATAACTTACTCAAGATTGTGCTTTATGCGTAGAAAGCTGCACCACCTGATGTAGTTTTTTGTAATCTTTTTCCGAATCTCTCTCACTATTTCAAGTTGAAGCTGCATCGACCAGTAAAATCCATGCAATTTGAGCTATTCAATGAGCTGCATTTATCTTTGTTGCCAGATGAGGTCAAATCAAATATGGTCCGCAAAACCAGCAAATAAGGTAATCAAAGCACAGAGAAAATTTCTGATCTCTCAGTGAAAGAGAGGCCAATAAGGTTATTAATGTGGTAGATCACTGAAGTTTGAATTTCAAAGATAATATTACGTTGCTTTCCCAACTTAATGCTCTGCCTCATCGTTAGGCATCTTATAAGGCACATCTTCCAAGAACTCGAGAGGAAAAGTAAGCTGAATATATTGTAATTCACTTATTTACCCATAATGAGTGCGTACAGACAAGTCCACAGCAGTGTGGATAACATGGCGGAAAAGCTGTATGGTGCTCACGTTCGACAACATCAGCAGCACCAGTTACTTGCGAGAGTAGCCGTTGTTTACAATTGCTACAGCACTCAAGTGCCTCAGAATATAACGTGAATGAAAATACTTGCTGGCAGAATGTTTAAGGTTATATGTCCAGCAGGTAGTGAGAAGTTATACGTGATTGGTCAAATCCTGCACTTCGCTTCTTGATGAGTTCAACGGGGATACCGTACGAACGCTGAAAGATGTCATAACCCTACTAGTTTTAGTGATACCTTATCGATTGGATCAGGCGGGGGTTGCATGCGCATCTGTGCATTGGCTAGCAGAAGTATAAGGTGCTCTCGCTGATTTCGGGCATTGGACTCCTGAAATAAAACAAAATCAGCTTACAGTAAGTAAAACGGACCTACACCATACATCATCACAACTTTGGTCTTCGTTCCAAACATTTACTCCTTCCTCCGGATAAACACTTCCAAGAACGGAAAATTTTCATTACTGAAACCTTGCCATCACGCGATACTAGCGTCAGATAACTAATCACAGTTACCTGGAATCCGAAGGTAAAACAAAGCCAATCCAGCATGTCCAAATTGGACGTCCACGACATGTTGGAAGGCTTTCTCAAATCTCCAACTACCTGCAAGGCTGCTATGGCAGCTCTGACCTGAAAATCAAAAAATCACATCAAAGAAATTAGTCAAATCAAGGACCCAACAGTTTGCTGCATCCATCGCTTTCGTGCAATGGATGCAGCAAAACAGGTGAAAATTAAAACTGATGAACTAAGCGGCCACGATGCAAGCTTAGACGTCGCTGCTGCGCGATTTACAGGATGAAGCACTAGTGTCCCGCAAGATACTAAATTTCCAAGAACGTGCGTTCTACTCAGAATTGCTCTGTCGAGGAGGTGGCAGTAACATCTCTAGAAGACCAAACCATATATTATTGCACCTCTGCCTACTGCCCAAGTTGCCCAGATACTCAGGCACAGGCACTACTTCTCTTCAGCTGTAAACAAGTCCGTGTAGCAGTGCTCAACTCCGTTAAAAGAAATGCTCAGTAAAGTAGTCACAATCTCGCTGCATACCACCAATCACTTGGCCAAAAATGCTGAGCAGTGTTCTTGCAAGTCTGTTTCTGGGAGACAGGAGGAGAAGGCACGATGATAGAGAGTCCTGTATCTTCATTAAGACACGGGAGGAATGCAGCCAAAACGATCATGAGTACACATTTTGAATTTCTTGGATTGGACCTCATTCGCAGTTCATGATTGCAATTTGGTCCGTGAGGTGATCGACCACCAGTGAGAGGATATAATAGGAGAAAATAGTACCTCGGGAAATCTCAAAGCTGGATGCTCGTCAAGCGTGTTATGGACAGGAATGATATTGTAAACCTCCTGCCCTCCTCCCATCTTGTAACCACCCCGCTCAGCTGCATCCGGGCTCTGCCGCTGGCGGTACTGCTCCCGCTCCATTGCGGAGCTTCTGTTTCAGCTCGCAGCCTTCAAGCCTCTAAAGCATTTGAAATCCTGTTCCGTTCGAACGAACCACGAAAAAACACCCTCTAACAAAATGGATACTCCTCCCCGCAAGATCGAAGCTGCTGTCTCGATGCGCCGACCTAGATTTCCTCGTTCCTGCCCTCGACCACCGATCTGCAGACTCCGGCCCTCGAACACACAGACGCACACTCACTCACTCACGCACAAATCAACTCCCAGAACCACGGAGCTCCCCGCGGCGAGTGGGGAGACTACAAAGACCAGCGGATCAAGAGACCCGTTTCCGCCCCCCGGCCTATGAATAGATCCGACGCAGTGATATTTTCGAATTCCGCGAGCGTTACCCCCCACGCTCGCTGTGGACAGCCGGTGACCGCCTTGGCCCGAAACTCTTCCACCAGGGTGGGGGGGGGACTGGGTACCCACTAGGACCCGACTTCAAACGGGACAGCGACTCAGAAAAGCTCCTGCTCCACGGAACCAACCTGCCGGGTTCTCCCGAGTGCGCTATATTCGCTGTCACGCGTACATTCCCGGTCTACCGGAAGGAGTCAGTTTTAAGTTTTTGACTAATTGGAAGATTCTTTCCTTCGCACAGGAGCGCTCTCCTTCTATATACAGTACTTATCGCCTCTCTGCCGCTGCTGACTGTTCCGCTTTCAAGTGGGCTACTAACTCACTCCGCCGTTGAGTCTCCGTACTGGATTCCATCCGGCAGAATGTGCAGCTTCGTTTGTCTCTTCCTCATTCATTTGCGAATTTATTGTATACTCTCGTGATAGACATTGTTGTTACTATGACCTCTTCTGCCTTGATTTCTGGCCAAATACAGTATGATTGATTAGGATCTTGATGGCCCGACACTTTGAGCTTTCGCTTATTTTTCGTTCACACCTTTCTCATTCTAAACCCCACGACCGATGATGCCACTGTGATCATGTGTATTTTTTAAATTGAATCTTTGAAAGTAATGTTTACCTTATAAAATTTAACCAGATAAACTTGTGTACTTGAAGATTTCATAACTCTCTTCCTGAGCGAATACATGTCATCTCAACTTATAGGTTGAACTTATTATTTATTTATTATTTATTTATTTATTTATTTATTTATTAAGTTTACTGCTCTTTAAAATGACAAACAAAGTCTACAAAACCTACCTTTCTAATTGCAGTTGGATAAGTATACATTGCATCGATATAAAAAGTGTCTCATCACAATACAACCATAATCAACTCATGTGGAAATTTTATTTTCATAGAAATAAATTCCAAGTATGTCGTCAAAGTTTCACATTATTGTTCAATACAAAAAACGTTCTCATAAATCAATAAATTTTTCATCCATCGTTCAACTTGCTGACTATTTTTTTCAATAACAATCCACGTTTCATGAATTTATTTATTGAAAATATACAATGATGTAAATAATAGACAATTTTTATTTATTTCAATTTTAGTTATGTGTATAATATACTTTTAGATGTTCTATATTAGAATATCAAAATATTTCATATCCATATAAATTTTTATTTCATTTGAAAATAATTAATTTTATAATAAACACGTACAAAATAAATAATGGGAGCAATTAGTTATAACTCAATATATATTAATTATACCTCACCCTACAAAAATTACAAGGGCTCGAGCAATGATGTAGTTCTTATGAAATATGAGAAAAAGATTCTAGATGAAGTAGTTTCTAATAGAGCCCCAGTAGAAACTAATTCTACCATTGTTTTGAGTTTCTCCAATAGTGTGTACATCAAGCACACCGATTTGTCGATATGAAGAGCATAAGTTTCTTTGAATGCTTCAAAAACGCGAGAAAACTATGTCGCGTGCGCTGAAAAGAACGAACATGGACCTCAAGCTGGTGGTTTTTATAGGGTGAAGAATAATTAGCATTAACTGAGTATAACTAGCCGCTCTCTAAATAATATACTTGTGAAAAATATTAGCAATGTTAATGCAATTTTCAATCAATTTCATATGCATGTGAACTATGACAATTTTATGCAAATCTGTTTGAATAAACTGATTATAAAGATAGAACATGAAATTTAGTAATTTTATAAATAAAAGTTTCAGTTTAAAGTTTAATGTGAAGAAAATTGATTTTCTTATATTTTTGTTATTACAATTCAATTTTACTTAAAACAATTTACATAAATTTTTCTAATTGAAAAAATATGTAGAATTTTGTTGGAAATAAAAGATTAATTAATATTTTTTCTTTTTGTTTGAACTAAATAATGAACATTTAATCAAAAAATGATTGTCATTATTGAAAAGTATAGTGATAAATGACATTTACACAATTGTTAATAATTTTTTTAAATAGATACATAACATGAAATTTTGAATGTAGGTTACTTTTTATGTTGATATATTGCAACACGCTAAGTAAGAGATAGCGTTTAATTTTTTAAGTTTTTGCTGTGACTATCAAAGTTAGGCACATAGTGGTGGATCTATAGTTTGATTTTCAGTTTTGTTAGTGTATTTTGATAATTTATCTAAACCTGTCTTTAAAATTCATCATCTGTTGTATTACTTTTCATTGTTGAATGTTCATGGTCTCAAAGTGAGGTTTTTTCTGCGTTTAAACTTTTGAGCTTAATGTGTGAGCTGAGCCAATGTTAGCATTCGATGCTTCATTTCCAACCTCCAACAAGCTTGTGGATTTTATCAATTATCACAACATGAAGATTCGGGTGAAAAGTTAGTCATTCAAGATGAAATTCCCAAAAGTGTCTTTATTTTATTTCATTTACGATAGTCATTCTATTACTATTTCAAGTTTGATGTGACTTTCCAAGGGAGAGTAATTTTTGATCAAAATTATAACGATCAACGAATTTATGGAACATATTCAAAAAATACTACATTAGATTAAGGAGAATTGTTGATAGTTCAAAATCGGCAAAAAATAGCATATAGATACTCATCTTAGAAAATTGATTCTTAACTTAGTAGGTCATGTTTGATTATATGCAACATATCTAAAATTGTTAAATACATTCAAAAGAAAGTAAGAGCCAAATTTATATGTAATATGTCAACAAATGTTCAACTATGGGGTGATTAATTCGGTACAATTTAATGGTAATTTAGTCCAACCAAAGATTTAGCACTATCCAATTCAGGACATATGGATTACCAAAATTATTTGGTGGATTACCGTAGTAAAAGCACCAGAAACATTCGTTAACATTCAAAATGTTGTTTCATTGTTCAGCACAATAGATCCATAGAATCTCGTGTACGAAAAAATAAGTATCTCGTAATCATCAACGGATTCGTAGTTGTCATACTAAAGACGCAAGACCACAGGTTTATGGTGGTCCAAAAAATGTTGTTAATCGACTCCGTATGAAACAACTGTCATAATTGATAAAATCCTGGTCGTGGAATGATACGCCGTTTTGCCAGAAGGTTTTGTACAATATTTCTTCTCTTTGCTAAAAATCCTATCCATGTATCTTTCATGACAAGATCTAAACATTAACTCAGATCTCAGTTTTGTGAGTAGCTTCTTTCTCTACTATGGAATTTTCTCTTTCCGATAACATTAAGCGGTTTTTGAGTTACTTCCCCTTAAATTGTCTGCATAGTGGTGGGCCGACCCTATCCGCCAACGTCACAAACTACACCTCCGGGTATGTGCAAAGTGTGACAACGCAGCAAAGTTCGGTAGGCCGGCGTTTGACCGTAGTCGCGGTTAGGAAATTAACCGCGACTACGGTCAAACGCTGGCCTATACGGTTAATTCCCTAACCGTATACGGTGCCGGTTATCCAGTTCAGATGGAAGGGCACACAAAGCCCTCGAGCAATGTCGGTATCGAGAATCAACTCGACGACGCTGCTGACGTCCATCTTTATTCACTTAGGATTAACTTGGTACGAGGAAAACGTGGGGCAGGGTGTGTGATGACTATACTTTTGCTGTGGCAGCGTACGACAAGAAAGCAGAGCGTGGAACCAGTTCTGTGTGGAATAGACGATCTTAATTCGTTTGAGCAAAGAGGAATATTGTTCAATCACAACTACACACCTTCCTTCAAGACTGACAGGAGATAGTCTAAGATGCATGTTTACAGCACATCTGCAAAACACTGCAAATGCACGTGACTTGATCGGTTATGGGGAGCAAAAGATGTACGACCAAAAGATGAGCAGACAGTGCGGTACCCCGGATTTTGAAAGAAGTTTCGAGGACGTTAGGTTATTACGCAAGGTCTCGAATTTTAACGCATGGCTAATGGAGCCAATTACAGAGGACTCGGACGAAGTGAAACTTTCCGTGTTGTCAGACTGCGGGTTAAGGCCTCAGATCACATGTGAAATGGTGCAGCAGGAAAAATGGGTGAAACAAAATTACTACTCAAAACTATGTAACTACGAATCCTGCGAGGCGGGGTTACCTTACATTCAACCAAACATCTGGCTACGTTTCTCTACATCTTTTGCATGAACATTTCAAATGACAATATCGCTGGACACGGTGGAAATCCCGGAGTGCTTACAGATGATCACTATAATTAACTCATACAGAACATGATCGATTCGTAGTACTCCACGAACTACAAATTCACGAACTGAACGCCTCTTCCACGCTGTCGCAAAGCAGAGAAAGAGGCAAAGAGGAAATCTTCATAAAACAACAGCCTTATGCACGCTCAGTTGACAAATTCTGAAAGAAATGAGAGAAATACACAAAACTGGACACAAACCTGTAGTCAACTATCACGTCATCATCAAGAAAAGATCCGAGATATCAAAGCAAATTGGTAGTTTGGTGACGCATGCCAAAACAATTTCTTCGACAGTTCCTGGACTCACTGGTCTCAACACCTCATTAAGGAACTTGATAGACTGTTACCTAATAGAAAGACTACGATACTGCTTTCAGTTCTGCAATTGAAAGTATTACGTGAAGTGAGCAGCAAGCGCTTTTCCCAGAGAAACTTTTCATTTGCTGCACAGCATGGAAAAATATGTAACATATTTAAATTCAGCAGCTCATTCAGAGAAGCATAAGCTACATGACCTTGCTCATCTCGGCAAAGAATTGTGTACAGTTCAAGCCTTCCGAACTCTTCTACAGTGATCCCGGGCCTCCTCTAATCGTGCTTGCTCCACTTGGATGTAAGTGATAATATACCGAAACAGATCGACGGCAGCAATTCCTGTCAGTAATTCCTTCCAATGGCCTTGACTGGTGGAATAATGACTCATGCTGTGCTTCTCCTTCATCCTACCCTTCTGCCCGGACTCAGGTGTCTCAAATGTATTTAGTGGCCCAACTTGAGCATTTGACTGTGGAGAAGGAACGCGAGGTGAGTCAAAGAGAACGTCCTGTGCATGGATCTGATAAAGGTTTGAGAACAAGGAACTTAAAAGCGTCCCTCGCCATCAGTTGTAATCTAAGCTTGAGCATCTGTTTTCCTTCCCAAAGCCAAATTCTCGTCATCCCTGTCCATCTTTTGTTCCATGAGCCCAATCTCCTCGTCCGTTTCACCTGTCTTCTTCTGCACCTCCTTAGACTTCAAGCCTTGCAGTTTGGCATGATTGTAATAGCAGACTCCCAAGAAAGCCACTCCATAACCGACGAGGTTAAGTTTAGTCACTCGGTCCATAATGACGGACCACGAAAAGGCAATTAGAAGCCAATCTTTCACAACTCCAGCTACGTTCATGGTCAGAGCCGAGGTCTTTCCGACAAGAAGGAACACGGCCAAGTTCAGTGCAAAGGCGCAGGCTGAATTGGTTCCAAAGACAACAAAGTCGTAGTGAAAACTGGAAGTTGCCATCAACTTCGGGTATTCGACCAGACACCAGGGGATAGAGAGGAAGAGGAAGCAACACGGGGCAATGTAGTAGAGCGAAGTTATAGGATTGAGAGAGATTCCCTTGGAGGTCAGAAGAATCTGGATGAGAACAAGCCGGGTGGCCTCAAATGCCACAGCTCCCAGCTGTAGCATAACACCCCAGCCATTGAACTTGGCTTCACCATATGCAGCAATTCCGACCCCCACAGAAATGCCTATCATGTTGGCCATGGTCTGCGACTTGAAAGTTTCCTTTTTAAACATGACACCAGTTGAGTATACCGCCACTGGCATGAGAGCCTTCAACATCTGAATAAACGAAACTGAGAGATAAATGTAGGCAGAATTGGAAAGCCAGAGGCTGAGGGAGTACAGAGCACCAATTGGAACAACGGATGACATGTAAATTTCTCGAGTCATTCCGATAGGTTCGACAAACTTGAAAACTCGAACAAGAAGGAAAGCAAGAGATGAACAGAAACCCATGTGAATCATTGTCAGACTGATAGGAAACGGCCAGTTATACATTTTTCTGTCAAGAATGTACTTGTTGAACACAATAACAGTGAAGCTCAAAAAGATCCAAATTGCCACATAGGTGTAGCTCATGAGAATCTTCTTGAAAACGGGCCCGCTCGTAGCAAGTACTTTGCCCATGGTGGCTGACGGGAGATGTCTCGACACTGCCTAATAGCACGGCTGCAAGCAAGCAGCTTGTAAATTCCACCAAAGTCACTGGCTTCACACGTCGACCATGCCGAGCTATCAGAATAACGTACAGCGCTTCATGTATTACAACGTTCGCTCAGGATAATCATGCAATCACTTGACTCAGAGAATGTGGAATCCCCGCTGATCCCGAGCTTCTCTCGATGTCTACGTCACGACTCCCCGACAATATCAAGTGCAGAAGCACCTTGGTCCCTCGCGGGATGGGTCTCGGACAATCTCAGACAATCTGGTTGGACAAAACGAACATGCGGTTGCTAAGCCATCTACAGAAAAACGGCATGGAAGGCAACGTACAACAAAAATCTTCCAGACAGAAACAGTGTTCAGTACAAATCATTACTGCACCATGCAAATGTATTGACTTTCTTTCCCTGAGGCACGCAATAAACCCTAGCAAATGACATTGCCCTCTAAGTGCGCAGCGTGGGGTGGATGGATTTCTGCTCACTGTCAACTGCTCACTGTCAAAAGCTACGAACACTTCCCCACCTTCCCACTACGATGACACTGGGACGACAAGTACTCAACCAACAATTTCGTCTAGCTAATTTACCTGCTCAATCCTTTGCTCCCTCGCATGTAGACCACCCTCAGTAGAAGAAGTCAAAACATTCTCGAGTAAGTACATGCACTGTTACTATGAGAAACCGAGGTAAGTCAACCTTGACCCAATCCCCCTCCCTCGACGGCTTCCGAAACAGCGACGAATGACTTCATTCGGCGCTTTTCTGTTCGCTGGATGTTGAAGGACAAACTGAAAGCGACCCAGTCGGTGCAGAGCAATGGATCGAAGATCAGACGGGCTTCACGACAGCGGCAACTTCGGGATCAAGGAGAAGCAGTGCCTCTCCGAGGATACGGAAGGATGTAATCGACTGCGAGCGCTGCCCAAAGGGTTCGGCGTGAAAGCAGTTTGCAGGATACCGCCAACCAACCTGCATACAGTTTGTCAACTCTGTTTGTGGCCGGTCTTCGTCATCCCCCCACCTGCGAGGCTGCGACGCATCGAGGAGGACAGACAAGAGGAGGAGAAAAAACCCCATCTAAAAGAACTGATACATTTTCAGTATCTTATTCCTCATCATCAGCCAAGGAGGTAATCGAGAATAAGTGATAGAATAATGACCACCGCTGTCTATATTAGTAATCAGTACAGTATTGTTTAGCATTATTTTGGTGGTTGCGAGCTCCACTGATCCAAAAAAGTTGAAACTGCTTATGGTCCTGTTTGAAAGGATTTTCTTCACGGCAATCATTCTCAAAAAATAATCAAATAATGTTTGATATCCGAAGAGAACAGCTTTTTCCATCGGTAGCTCGGAGCTCCTCTCTCTCTGATCTCTCACCAAATTTTGATGTATCATCTTTTCTTACCAGAACGTGGAAGGCATGCAGCATTCGTATAAGCTCAAAAGATACATGGTGTCTTTAACTCAGCCGGATAAGAACACATCTCATGGTCTTCGAGCTCAAGAAGTCGATTCATTGTGCATGGACATCTTAGAATTCGCTCTTTGCGTTGTTGGAGGCTATTTTACTTACCTTGTTTGTACCACAGGGCGTAGCAAAGGACTTCGGGCATTTGCGTTCAAGTGTATCTTAGTGCTACTAGTGGAGAAGAATTGTTTACAACCTCAATTATCTGTGAGAAACTTCAAATTGCGATTCTGTGATTCGGGATCAAATTTATAGATATCTTCGTATACTGTATGCCACAAAAGCTGCAGGTTAGCTATTGATGATTCGACCAAGTCATCAACGTCGCTAGATGTCTTCATCTTGCGACGTTGATGCTACAGGCGACTGGTCTCGCCAGTTGACGATGTGAGAACCCCCATTTCTAATGTCCTACAAATCTTTCCTGGAAAACCCCAAAACGCTGTATCTACAATGACATATGTTTCTGTAAGTGGAGAAAGAAAGTCAGCCCTTCGTGATCAAATAATAAATAATGGAAACGCGCTTTTCTTAGATTTGTTATCTGATTGAAAAAAATATTACCGCTAATTGTTAACTAGATGTTCATATACTGGATAACTATCTAGGAGTGATTACAACATAAACATTCCTTCTCTCTCCAGTGCAATTTAAAAGAGCCCTTGGAGCCTATCAATGAAATGTCTAACACGCGAAATGAACATCTCTATGAAAATGAGATATTGTGGTAATATGGGCTTTTACCAAACTCGTGCATGTTTTTCCTGTTTGGGATATCCACTACAGACTCTTTCTCTCCCTTTCTCCCTCCCTTTCCCCTTCTTCCTCCTTCCCGTCTACCCTCTCCGGCACGGACCCCAACAGCCCACCTCCCCCCTCATTAGAGCGAGCTACAGTAATTCTATGCAAATTAGAACCCGCAAGACAACGTGGAGAGTACATATGTAAGTTTAAAACTTACATATGTAGGTTTCTTCCGGATGTGCGTGCTTTGTGAGTCAATGGGATCCACCCCAATTTTCGAGAAGTTTATGGGTAGGGAACGGAGCAATGGCACACACAGTCAAACTAAGACTGATATGCCACCTCAACATTTTCCTCGCGATAGACGAAAATGGAGTTCCCAATCCCTGTGTATGTAAGCTTGTTCAAAACTCAGAACAGGCGTGTAGAAGTTTGCAATATCCGGTAACATTAAATATGACGATCATGTTCCAACTTTGGTTATCCTTAACAATCAGGCGTAAGCATCGCCTAAAGATGTTCTACAAGTGACAGTAGAAACTTTCTGCACTACTTTGAAGCGGTATGCTCTGATGCAGATTTGAATGTTCGTCAAACGTTTTGATTTTCTTTTTTATTTCATGAACTTTAGTTTTTGAGAATCGAACCTTGTGCATGCAGTTTAAAATGAGCAACATGATGACATCGGATCACAAAAAATTATTAGTTTACAGGTAATCAGACGCTCTCCATAAATAGAACTAAAACATAGCTACTACAGTATGTAGACCTAGATAGTTGGGATGGGTAAGACATCTTTCCCAATGTATTGTTATTGGTGCCTATCTCATTTGGTTTCATCCATGATGGTTCATTCCCATAATATTGATATATATTTCTTGTTTTAGATGATGGAATGGAATCACGATTTTTTTAGTATAGTTCCATGTTATGCAGACGTTCAAATTATTTTAGGAAGAGAACGCAGCGAGAAAGATAAAAAAAACAGGACACAGTTCAAGCTTCCCGGCAGCCAAAATCGAAGAGCTCGGGAGAGGAATATGTAAAATGAGAACGGACAATAGGCGAGAACTGGGAAATGACGTCCATGATGGAACATGCCATTGGAGAAAAGTCTATACGGTTCGAGTCCGAGTTTCGTAGTCAGCGTACACCGAAGATGTGACAACAACAACAACAACGGAGCGCAACGGCCCGAAGGCCCATACGGATGGGAGGCCACGTCTTGTGGAAACCTACTCGATGACACGTGGCTCGACCACGGGAGCTGGCGCTCTCCCTTACACACTGACGCCGGGAATTGGTCCGGCTGTTAGGGTATGGTTTAACGTTGTGGACAGTGTGGAGCTATATCCAGCCAATGGCGTGGCGGTGTCGTGACAGGTCAGCTCGGACTGGCCAGTAATGCCGGTGCGATCGAGTCACAGAAGCATCAGTGACCGGCGAAGTCCCGGCCGGCGTCGCCCTCGCCACCAAGGGCCTTAAACCTTCTCAGAGTTGGCCCTTTGCGTCTCCCTTTTTCCCGCGTGGAGCTGCTCCGCTTCTTCTTCTTCCGAAGAAGAGCTTGCAGTGGAAGAGTCGTCGTAGTCCCTGCCCGGTCGCATAGTTCCCCCCCCCGGCATTCCGAGGTCCGAGTCCCGACGTTCGACTGCCGACTCCGTGCTTCCTTCGAGGGATCGCCGGTACAGATCGGATAGATCTGTACACTCGGTTCCACACACAGTCTCGCTCACGGGACGGTAGAGCTCTCGGCTCCCTTTACACAGATATATGGTTTGCTCGATCACCGGCTCTTGATCTGCCTCCCTCCCGAGCCGAACACGCTGCGGTAGGCGATCGAGAGATAGAGAGTCGGGCCGATCGCTGGCGCAAATCAAAGATATGTCGACCTAGACCTCGGGTTCAGTCTCTCTCTCTCGACCAGAATAGAGGCAGGCAGGTGGGCAGAGGGTTGCTTTGCTCGGTCCGGTCGTTCTCCCGCACCCCTCCTGCACTGATATCGTCACAGAGATGGCGACCACATGGCTCAAGGGGACCGTGAAGGCTGTCCCTTCTGGGGATTCTTTGTTGATCATGGGCAACGTGAAGGGTGGTCCACCTCCGGAGAAGACCATCACTCTCGCATCGCTCATTGCTCCGAAATTGGTACGTGTCCTTGGACGGCGAACAGTAGGATGACAAATCCCTCTGTAGAATGAGTTTTGAATGAGAAGTGAGCTCGGAGCTGTCCAATTTGCTTTATATCCTGGTTTTCCCACGGCCATTTTCATGTTTCGTAGATTCATCACTGTCACCAAGTCTGGTGAGCTGCAGATGTGCATCGGAGAGACAGTGGGGTCAACGTGACATGTTTGACAGATGGCTTCGTCACCTGCCGATTTCTATTGAACTTGCGGAACGAAAATGCTGATTCCATCTGTATTCAGTGCATCTGATCTCTCGCATCTAGTTTCTGTTATCTCTTGCGGCGGGTCTTATTTTCTTTTCTCTGCCTGAGCTCGTTACTCGCCGCACATCGAATGGTACTCGGTTGCAGACATCAATCAGTAGCCACAAGAAACTGAAATGACTACTGCAACTGACGACATCATAGATTTCAACCGAACATCCCGATCAGATCATCAGTCAGTTGATTCTCCCTAAATTTCAATGAATCCACAGGCGTTTGGGCAGTAATGGTCAGTGTAAGTTACGGTGCTTCAAGGATACCCGGATCAGCTGTTTGGAGCACGGAAGCACTACTGCTGGGATTCAAGGAAAAGCAGGGATTTCTCACGGCTGGATCCGCTAGATTCATCTCTGGAGACAGATATTTTCTCGATTTGTGCTCCTGTTTTACGCTGGCCCCGCCTTTGTGTCAAGTACACATCAACGAAACTTAGTGGTTGAGTTCAGTGGATATAGTCACCTCTTCACTTAGCCTAGTGATAGCTGTTCCGCACATTTTGCTTGGCATGAGACGTTGTCAGTCGGAGCCGTCTACCACTAGATTGGAACGATGTTTCTCGCTGAGGATCTCCACATAATACTTTTTTTCTGTTGAGATCTGGCAACCGAGGCACTGGCACATCCTTGAGCCCCAGGGTCGGTTCGCGTGATAGCAAGCTCAAGCTGGTTTCTCAAAATCAGCTTATGGACCAAATGACAAAGTCGACTACACAGTCATGGTGATGTTCCTATGCAGACCCTCGTAGGCTCTTCCCTCAGCTGCCAATCTTCAATGAAACTCGCGGACCGCAGAAGAAAATCAGTTGTCCTCATTAATGTGACATTGTAGAAGTTGGATTCTGTGCGCATGATCCGTATACATGTTTGCGTTCTGAAGAAATTTCTATTTTCGCACGCAGATCTTCACCTAAATCTACCGAAACTAGATTCATACAAAAGTTTCGTTATCAACGAGAATCACATATCGACACGCGCTTTCGCAGCGGGTGTTACTTAGTGACCATGGAAATGTTTCATACACCAGATTTGATGCACTGACACTTCTGTGATAAAAGAGATTCTGCGGATCATCTTTTGTTCCGAGCCAAACCCTGTTCAGCAACGGAGTCGGTCATTTGTGTAAATATTCAAGTGAGAAGACATATGCTGTCCATTCAGATTTGAACCTGCCTGGTGAATTTTCTAATCAATACGACAGGTTACAACACACGGCGGAGAGCTTAACCACAAGCCCGCCTTCTAACTTACTTCAGCCTTTACTGCCTTATTCCTTTTCTTCCTCACGATGTCTGTCAGATTCAGGTTTCTGGACTCCAGTGATAACAAGAATCCCCGCTCTCTGTACGCACCCATTTCTTCCGGATTTCTGAATGCTGTCTATAGTCATGGTTCACTTCTCTTCACTGCTTTATTTTCGATGGTTTCCAGACAAATGAAAATCCTCTCGGTTCTATGGTGTTCCCTATTATCTATTCGGGCGTCCATTCTTGCAGGTTCGTACTTGGCTTCGTTTGCCACAATTCTGGCCAACAACTTTCGTTTTCACCTGGGTTTGTTGGGCTCCTAGTTCTCCTCAGCCCCCGCTCGGTCCAGTGCTGAAACCTATACTCCTTGGTACCCATTGATGACGAGGCCGAGTCCACGTGACGGGAATGTGGTCCTTCCTGTTCATCAGTTGTTTACGGTCACTTGAGGACTTTCTTGCGTCGGAGTGGATCCTCTGTATTGCACACCTACTTCCCACCACTGTCATTCGACAGACGGCCTCCTCCCTATCTTCCATCCTTCTGCTTCTCCCAGGTTTTTCATACTTTGCATCTCTTTGTTTTTTACTGTCTTCCAGTTTCAATTCATGCAGGACATTACCCACGTTTTGTATGATTGTGTTCTTGTTGCTTGGCATTTAGCATTTTCTTAAGGCGCCTTCGAGAGTAACACCTACATTTGCTTTGCTTCGGCCTCTTGCACTATCTTACTTGTATCAAACGGACCACGTGTAGTTACTGATTGTCTCCGTAGATCACTAATGTTTGTACTTAGAATGCTTATTTACATAGTAAGCCTAGCATTCCCTGTGAAGCAATCTGCGCCAATGCACAAGTTTTGTCTCTGCGTTTACGGTGGAGTTCTGTCTTCCCGAATTTTGTTTGGTATTTTAAGTGGATGTCGTGGCTTAGGGAAGACAGTATCTAACGTACCTAACCTAGCCAATCAAACTTTGTGTCGAAATGCAGGCAAGAAGAGACGGAAAGGACGAATCATGGGCTTGGGACAGCAGGGAATATCTACGAAAGAAGTGCATTGGGAAGGTATATATGCTATAAGCTTCAAGGGGATCTCAATATCCGTTTCAATGCGTAACCACTCGATGATTCTGGAAAATTTTCTGAACTTTTTCATCATTTCAAGTCTGATGCCAATCAAAAGCGAGGGCCTCAGTCTTTTCTACTCATCAAAGTGAACAATCTTCTTTACTGCGCCTGGACTTATGTCTTTATCCTTCTCAAGTCCTTTTTGCTAAGCTCTCCGGTGAATATTGGTGAGATTCGTAGACTAAACTTCGTGTGATATTGTAAAACAGGAGGTGACATTCAAAGTAGACTACGTCGTGTCCTCTATCAATAGGGAGTTTGGCACAGTACTTTTAGATGGCCAAAATGTGGCGTACGACGTCGTCGCGCAAGGATGGGCCAAGGTGATGAACCTTTCAGCATTTGTGGTGTTAACTCCTTGTCTTTTGTTTCCTCGGATAAACTTCGAATTGTCTTGCAAATGATGGTTTACGCTAAACATAGGCTCTTTCTGGCTTGGACCCACTTGAGGGTTTATTTCCTAGCTTATTTTTGTTGAGTACTCCAATTTCCCAATATTTTCGTCGAGGGCTATATTTCCAAAGTTGATGGTCAAGTTGCAGTTGAACAGTTTGTCACTCAAGCGGTTGATTTGTTATCACAGGTTAGGCCACAAGGAGGCCAAGCCAACGAAGTGAGTGCTACGTACATTACAGAGTTGGAACAGAGGGAGACCAAAGCTCGCGAAGAAGAATTAGGAATCTGGAACAAGGTGGGTAACTCTTTGTCCCTTGTTCGTTTGGACAGATTTAGAGTGCAGGCTCCTGTTTAGTCCACGTGTCCTGGTCCTAAGAAACGTTACGTTCAACAACAGTGAGATAGTACTAGTCTCAACTTTGTAGATACTAGTAATAATGACCGAATCATGTGCTGATTTTCTCTGACTACCGTTAGCAACATCCAGTACCTTTCTGAGGGATATTTCCATTTGCAATTCAGACGCCAGGGGCAGCAGAGGCAGCGGTGCGAGACCTTCCTCCTTCGGCAGTTGGGGACGGTGGCAACTTCGATGCCATGGGTTTCCTTGAAGCTAACAAGGGTAAACCTCTTCCAGCTATCGTTGAGGCAGTAAGAGATGGTAGTGCTCTGCGGGTTTACCTTCTCCCCGAGTTTCAGTATGTTCAAGTGTACGTCGCAGGAATTCAGGTATTTTTATGCCCCTTCACTTGTTTTCTTGTTCCACCGTCCTTGTTGTAGATGCTTGCTTCGTTGCCGCTTCTGAACTCGAAACTTGTTGGCTCCAATTTGCTCCCGCATCTCTTTGTAAGCTTTTGCATCAGTTGGATTCTTGGGTCGATGAAGAATGGGTTTGCTGATTCGGTCTGTCCCCTGTAGGCTCCATCTATGGGTAGACGAGCACCAGCTGGGGAAGTTCAACCCGTTGCTGAAGCTGCGAGGCTGAACGGTGAGGGGGCGACTGCAGAAGGCGAGGCAGCAGCAGCGGCCGTTCCTGCTCCACTAACCACTGCGCAGAAATTGGCAGCATCGAATTCCGCTGCTAACAGTGCCGAAGTGCCCCCAGATCCGTTTGCAAAAGAAGCAAAACATTTTGCGGAAGTTCGAGTTCTGAACAGAGACGTAAGTTTGACGTGCCTTTATTTCTACAAAACATTGTGCCACCGGTTTCCCTCATGTGCTGTTTGTTGATACGATGAGGCTTGTAGACTCTCTTTACGAGTTTTAGGGATAAACTGTGTTAACGAATATTTCTGGCCTGATACAGGTGAGGATAGTTCTTGAGGGAGTCGACAAGTTCAACAACCTCATTGGTTCTGTCCGTTATGAGGATGGTGAAACGGCTGCTGATCTTGCTCTCGAGCTTCTGAAGCAAGTGAGGCATCTTTGTCCTGTCCTTGTTTATTTCCTAACTGGTGTAACGTTGTACTTTATGATTGCACGTGTTTCAAAAAATAAAATATAAGAGTATTTTGAATCTCATGTTTACATATCTAAAGACTGATGCTTCTAGGGCGTGTATAATATGGGTACATTGTCGGGGATGTTGTCTTGGGCTCGAGCTCCATATACTAGGATGTTTTTGCTGTGCATGTTTTTTCTTCCACCGGGTCGGAATCTTTTAGCATATTCCAAAGGCCGACCCATCTGGTTGTTGCAACTTTCCAGGGCCTTGCAAGAGTGGTGGATTGGAGCGCCAACATGTTGGAAGAAAGTACCAAGCGTGTTCTTAAAGCTACAGAGCTTCAGGCTAAAAAGGACCGTGTGCGCTTGTGGACCAATTACGTTCCCCCAGTCTCCAACTCTACAGCCATTCGTGATGACAACTTTAGTGGAAAGGTACAAAAGATTCGAAGGAGCTGACTTTTTTTTCTTGAGTTTTTTTTAAATATCTGTCCACCATCAGCAGAGTCAGCAGAGTCTGAGAAGTGTGGATATATGCAGGTGATTGAGATCGTGAGTGGTGACTGCGTTGTTGTCGCCGATGATGCTGCTCCATTCGGAAGCCCTCTTGCTGAACGTCGAGTCAATCTGTCGAGTATCCGTGCTCCTAAGGTGGGGAACCCCAAACGAGAAGAGAAACCTGCAGCTTATGCGCGGGAAGCCAAGGAGTACTTAAGAACTCGATTGATTGGTCAACAGGTACGTGTACAAGCACATTGCCGCCCACTTCACGCAGAAGATTAACTAGCATATGTCATCTTGAGCAAAGGTTTACAATTGACATCCTTTTCTGTTATATTCTTTTTTGTGTCGTTGAACCTATGCTTATGTACTCGTGACGAAGTGAAGCACTTCAATGATAGTTTCGTGCGTGATGACCCAATCATGCTTGCATCTGTCCATTTTGACAGGTTAATGTTACCATGGAGTACTCTCGCAAAGTTGCTCCAACAGATGGCCCATCTCCCGCACCAGCAGTACCTGGTGCTGACGCCCGCGTGATGGACTTCGGGTCTGTTTTCTTGTTAGCTGCTCCGAAAGGAGAATCTCTTGACACAGTCCCATCTTCAGGATCTGCCGAGCAACCGCAAGGGATCAACGTGGCAGAGATGGTCGTAGCCCGAGGATTTGGAACTGTTGTGAGACATAGGGAATTTGAAGAGCGCTCGAACTTCTACGATGCTCTCTTGGCTGCAGAATCCAGGGCTCAAAAGGGAAAGAAGGGAATGCATTCTCAAAAGGAAACGCCGGCTATGCACATCAATGACCTTTCACTTCAGGTAGATTTCTCCTCGTCTTGGCCAACACATTCGTTATGCCTGCTTCATCCTTATTTTGTGCAGATGCTGCTTATAGATACATTCTTAACTGTTGATACGTTGACCTTCCCTTCCTCTGTGCAGGGAACAACAGCTAAGGCTAGGCAGTTTCTCCCCTTCTTGCAAAGGCAAAGAAGATTACCAGCTGTTGTGGATTATGTGCTCAGCGGCCATCGTTTTAAGTTGATCATACCGAAGGAGACTTGCGCCATTGCTTTCTCTCTGTCTGGTGTTAGGTGTCCAGGACGGGGTGAGCCGTTTGCAGATGAAGCAATCGCCTTTATGCGTCGTAAGATTTTACAAAGGGATGTGGAGGTAAAGTCCTTGCCCTACTCTTGTATTTCTTTAAATACTATTGTGCAGCAGATAAATCGCCTGGCCTGTCGATGTTCTTTTAGTTTGTCTGACTGTTTTCTTGCTGTTTGTAGATTGAGGTGGAGACTGTAGACAAGACTGGGACATTCCTTGGAAGCTTGTGGGAAAATAGATCAAACGTTTCGCAGGCATTGTTGGAGGCTGGTCTGGCCAAACTTCACCCCATGTTCAGCGCAGACAGGACAACAGAAGGTCACCTGTTGGTGCAGTCAGAGCAGGTTGCTAAAAAGCAACAACTCAAGGTATGAACCTTCTTTTCCTCATCAGATGACTTGTGGATCGCTGACGTGTATGAGAGACTCTTTTCCGGGAAGCTTCCAGGGATGAATGATGTCTTGCGAACTTCTTTCAGAGTATGATGTATCTTCGCACCAACAATGTCGTAATCAACACCATCAATGAAGGTTTTTTCAATCATTGTATCAGTATACAAAATTTCTGTATCTTATTTTGGGTGGGTTTGAGAATGTTTCCGTGAGTATATGGAAAGATCTCTTTTCTAACCTCTGGCTATTGACGAGCATGCGTAGGTGTGGCAAGGATATGTTGAGGGTCAAGCTGAGGAGGCGAAAGCCGCAGGTGAAGTGACCAAGTCAAAGCAAGAAGTGCTCAAGGTATTCTTTTTTGCAGTTTCTCATAAACTGGTCCAATACGTAGGATATTCTACTGCTTATCTTAGATACCATGGTTCTCTGTTTAATTGATACCAGTTTTCATTGATTTATATTGTGTTCCTTCTCGTCCAGCCTTGGGTAAGTTTGGGCCTAGAAGTCCTTTCATACCTTCGTTTCTAGGTGTACTTGTAACTCTATGTTTAGCACTCCCAGTCGTCACATGCTGATGTCATCAATTTTGCAGGTCAAGGTCACTGAAGTCCTGGGCGGAGGGAAGTTCTACGTGCAAATTGTTGGTGATAGTCGCATCGGCGCCATTCAGAATCTAGGCGTGAAGGATAAAGCCCCACTGCCTCCCGGCTCCTTCATTCCCGAGAAAGGCGCTTTGGTGCTAGCACAATATAGCGCGGACAATTCTTGGAATCGTGCTATGGTTTGTGATCATTTTTTTCCCTGTCAGATGAGGTTAACTTGATTATTGAGCGTTAGCACCATGGAGCAAATATGAGAAGTAATTTATGTTGTCGGCTAGGTATCGACGTTCACAGAGTTCCATAACACGTTAACGAACTTTTTCGCTGTTTTTTCAACAGGTTGTAAATGCCCCGAAGCCTGGTACAGCGTCAGGGAAATCTGAGTTTGAAATTTTCTATGTGGATTACGGCAACCAAGAAACGGTTCCTCTTTCAAGACTTCGACCTCTGGAAGGTGCGATTGGATCCACAGCAGGTGTGGCGCAATTGTGCAAATTGGCTTACATCAAAGTTCCAGACCTCGAAGAAGAATTCGGAATCGAAGCTGCAGAATATTTGAGTAATACGATTGGTGATAAGGTGTTGACGGCGCGTGTAGTAGAGAAAGACACTTCGGGTGGCAAGGTTAAAGGTCAAGGAACCGGTCCTTGTCTTATTGTCATGATGGAGGATGCCGAGACACACGCATCCATCAACACCAACATTGTGGAGGTAAATATCTCAGCATTATTCAAGCTTCAGGTGCCACGTTGTAGGCAAGTATTGATTGTCAAAGCATTAGAGTTGTATCTTGCATTTTTAGCATGAGCTTGTTTTAAAGATGGAGACCATCACTGACGTGGATGTTTTTCCTTTCCTCTCCAGGCTGGTCTAGGAAGGGTTGAGAAGAAATTAAGGTGGGATCCTATTGACAAAAAGACTGCTTTGGACTCCCTGGCTGAACATCAAGAAATTGCGCGGAAGTCGAGGCTGAACATCTGGCAGTATGGAGATGTAGAATCAGATGAGGAGGACGTTCCATCCAGAGGGCGAGGTGGAGGTGGTCGTGGTCGTTAGAGAAGTGATTGTGCCACATATTTATGGAGGAATTTGAATTCCTGACGGTAGTAGTAGGTTGGAATCAGACATTCCTGATTCCGACTGCTTTGGACTCGCTGGCTGCTTGGACATTCCTGATTCCAAGCAAGGCTTGGACTGTCTACAAGATGTTCTTCTCGACCAGTTTTTAAAGTGGTCTGTCAATAGGAAGAGCTTACATTCGGAGCTCAACAATTGTGCTCTTACTTAAACCACGGAGAGAGAGAAGGGAGGAAGAAAGTGTGATTCTCTTGGGCATACTGACTGCGCTACATTTGCGTGGCGAGTGGGCCTTGGCCTATAGTTGTTCAGATTCTTTTCCATAGAGTTCTGCTCGCTCAACTTTGGAGATGTTCGGTGTCCAGTAATTGGTCTAGCTGACCATGGGCAGTGACTGGTAAGGCTCATTTATAAGATACCCTTTGTCCTCGAAATAGGTGGATTGGGATCTAGACTTTAGTCTGCGGCTTTGGTACAATTATATGCACGTTGAGGTAACTGAGGCTTTGTTCATTCAAAGAAAGAATAAATTTTAGTGCATGGAAGTATGGATACGTCGGCGTACAAAGTACCTTCTGAAACACTATCGTGGGTCACGGCGGCCCCTGATGTTTTATGCACATCTGTCCTTCGAGAATTACACTGGGGAATGTTCACTTTTAACCGGAGTGATAACTGCATCTAAGCTGATCAAGACTAAACCCCAGGTTTTCATATGTTTCGAAAGGCGAAAATGAAATAGTGGATTAGGAGCGAATAGAACAGATGACTCAACAATGAACATGCTAGGGCATCAGTAACGAAGCATGTGGAATATCCTCAGCGCGTCATTCAGCAAACCCCCCCCCCCCCCCCCCCCCCCCCCCCCCACCTCCAAAGTGTATGTCGATGATCAGAGACCCGACTTACATTTGTATTTCACTCAGGCGCTTTCACGAAGTACACGTTATCAAAATGGAGTACGACCCAGTTCATTTAGGATGACGCACAAACAACGCGCAATTGATCAGTCTCATATTTGATGGAAGTATGAGAACAAGGTGCACACTGCTCTGATCACGTCGAATGATGTGTAAATAACATCATTTCCGACGGACTCCTCACTAAATACATGTGGACAACTTGTGTACTCTCATGACCACTAGACAACACTGTATCATGTCATACCGGAGTGCTCTCGAGAAATGCTTGAAGAGTACACCGTTCTTATCACGTCGAATGAGGCAGAACGCGCTCTTGCACCAGGAAAACATGATGACAGGTGGGATACAATCATGATTGTGTCGAATGACACACTACAGGGATTTAATTCATCACTCTGTAGGAAGCCTCTAGAGTGCATGATGACATGGCACACGGAGGAGAAATCCATGTTGACAACTTGTATACTATGCCGAGCAGAGATCATTCAAGAAGTGCTTGTGACTCGCCATGGGCATGGATCTGTAATCCGGCTGGAGATAAACAGATAGTAGTGACACGTTATTCATGTTACGGACAATATCTGGAACCAGCTGGAGATGTGAGGCACATGTTTGCTTGTGTTTAGACTTAAACTACTTCGCTGAAACTCATGCAGGTTTCAATTTGTGAGCGAGTTTTTAAAAATAATTTAACTAATAAGTTATGGTTGAAAGATCTTTAGAAAAGATTTTTGTTCAAACTTTTGTTACATACCTAGCTCTTTCAACAGCTAAGACTGTAAGCAAGCTCCAGAACAGTCATTTCTTTCTTGTGTATTTGGAACAACTTTGTTTTAGATCCTACAAACATGGGTCTGGATTACCTCCATAAAGAACGAAGAAACATGTAATTTACATGTAATATGTCATCTTTTATATATGATAGAATATAAGTGTCTACCGTGTAATAAGACTTCAAATTAATATTTGCAGATGTAATTTTTTATCTCACATGAAAAAATATGTTATAACTTAGAAGAAAAATAAGCAAATAGAGGTAAAGAAACTGATATATCGCAATTTTGTCAACCAACTAGGAAATTTAGTTTCCTGAAAAAAAATTGTGCGAAAATAAAGCTGATCAATATTTCAACTAGATATCTTAGTGGCTGATAAGGATTTGAATGCATTGTGAAGTAATTGTATTATAAAACAGCAACTTCTACTATGGAAAAGAATTGTTGTGTTTCTTTCATGTCTTTTCACGAGTGATTACAGTTTCAACAATTATCCTCAAGATTTGATAGTAGTACGGAAAGCACTTTCAGATGCACATACTATCGAACAGAATGTCATGATGATGTACGTAGATTTAAGTTTCAATCGCTGATATGAAATACTCTTCTCTTTCCTTAAATGCAATCACATCATTGTACGGGCGGATGAATTCATTGAAATAAAATGAACAACACAATGATTTAACAGAACAAAGTTGTGGAAATTATCTTCAATTATCTTATTCAATGTAATTTATCCAAGATTTCGTTGGAAAAATGTTAAATTTGTACGGTTTTCCTGAATTTTTGTTCGTTAAAATTTATAATCAATTTACACTCAACATACATGTATTCATGTAACTAATATTCATGATGTTGAATCTCAATCAGACATAAATATGATCAAATTTTCGTACATAGACTTGAAAAATTAAAAAGATAAATTACTATTCGACCCAATGACTGTTGCATTTTTTTAATATTTAAAATATTTTATATCCTACGGTTTGAATTTTATCATAACCAACAAAACAAATTTTGCAGATTTAATTCAACCTTTTTTCCGAATTTAGAAAAATCTTAATATTCAAGAAATATAATGAATATCTAAGAGTTGAAACTGATACAAGAGTTCATGTTTTGCTTTATTTGTGTAAGTGGATTATTTAAAGATTAACAAATTTTGATAAAAAATCTGAAAAATAATTTCAACTTCTATGTTAATATATTCAAATTTTTTATTTAATGATCAAAGTGATATACTTTGAAAAAATTATACATTAAATTGATATAATTTTATTATTATGGAAAGTAAATTTGAAAAGAATCTATAATTTAATTGTGATTATCTTCTTCATCTACAGCTGTTGTGAATACTTGGAGAAAAAAAATTCCATGACTTATCTGTAAAAAACTAATTTATTTCCAGCATTTTATTATGACTATCAACATCTCTAGTGATTTGTCTTTCCTAATCTTCGATTCATAATATTTTAATGATAAAAAAATATGATAACATGGTAATTTTTTTCTTCTTTCAAATTTAGAGGAAAAATATACTTAAAATATCTTGCTTATACTCTGTAATTGCGTATTTTGATTAATTTTTTAGCAAGTAACATATTAATATTTAAAAATATCATATGATATCTTTGACCCGTTAATTACTCAGTATCACATATTAAGCATGATTAATTTGAGATTAAATATATCAGGATAGAACAATTATTCCAATTCTTATTTTGGAAGGTTCAATTCTGAAAATTTCATCTTTCAGATGTCATGTGACACCATTCTACACAAAACACCACATTGTGACGTTTATAGCAGATATTTATGCATAGAATTCTGTAATAAATCTTCGAATTTTTTCAATTAATCTATTGTATCAAATTTTAATATTATTCTAAATCGAACATACCGAGAATCATTAAAAAAAAATACACAATGTAAGACATGAAAGTGATAGTATTGTGAAAAAAATTCATGTTTGAGTTCATCTGTTACAGAAATTGCAATGTATGGTCGGAGTTGTAGTCAGTTTCCAAACATTGACGCACAGTACAACGGAATAGGATAGATGACCTGTGTAGCTGAAATCATTGCACCCGTGAAGAAGCTACAAAACTTTTTACTTTGAAAGGTAAAAGCGAATTTCATTGTCGGTCTGACATGTCAGCTTGATAATCAGACAAGGCAATCATTTTCGTATGAAATGCTAAAATCAGACCACTGTTTCGTCTTATAGATTGATACATATAGAAGCATCGAAGAGCAATTTTTTTGTGAAAGGAGCTCTTTCAATAGTTCACAGACGAATACTATACGATGACGTGAGTCTACTATGTGAGAAATATATTTGAAATCAGCTCAAATGTTCAGAAAGCTGTTTACGTCATGTATAGAATGAGCCATGAGACATTCCTTCATCAAGTCCAACTTGATGAAGGATGGCATTACCTTGAAATGGATTTGATGCATTTCTCATCAATTATTTATAATATGATACATACCATCTCTCCCAGTAACGAATGTATTCTCACTTTTGGCGGGTTCTTATCTTACCTAAAACCCTGTAGGGCAATCCCATTAAATCTCATCTAGGTAAATTTTGCAACAGTCGCGGGATCGTAAAAAGGTCGCGTTCAAACTTTATGAGTTATATACCACTCGAGTAATAGGTTCGGTCACCATAGACATTTCAAGAATATATATTGGAGTATAATCAGAAAGGTTTTTTTTCTCTCCTGGATTTATTCTACGCTGTTTTCACTTCTATGGAATATTTGAATTCAATAAATTGTTTATGATTGCGGAGAGTTCGAATTGTGGCGATTGATAAAGTTTCATCCATTATTTTATGGGTATATCATGGGGCTAGGCTCTCTATTATCCTTTTGGTTTCCAATACTTGATGGAAACCATGGGGTCTTCCCATCTTTTCCGTTCACTTTCTTGGCCAATTTTGGAACTCCCTAGAGGGACCAGAGTGGGGGTACAGGATGGGTACAGGTTCTTCTTTTAATCGCTTTCCTCTCGTAATATTTGACCTATCTTCTCTAAGTTGAATGATTTTAGACAAATTTACTTCCATCCCATGAGAATATGATTCTCATAGTAGTTAGTTAGAATTGTGTTATGCACTTCTGGTCTTTCAGTGGGCATTTTGTTGTTGGCCATTGTTGATGACTCTAGCTATCGTTCTTCTCATGCCATGAGTCGTCACATGCATTTCCTCATTTGCGTTAATCTTCTGTTGTCCTCTAATTAAATCTTACTTTGCTTTTAATCTTGATTTGAAAGCTCATACGTTATGTTGAAAATACTAGTCATAGGCTTATCCATAATCCCACGATCACCTCCATGACCACGTTCCAAAACCCTCAACTACAGCGAAAAGCGGATTCTGCTAATAATTCAAAAGATAAGTCAGAGAAGTCAAAGTATAACATCGATATGTTGTTCATGACGCTTTTAGTAAGAAAGTTGAAACAGTTTCTTACACTGCTCCCGAGCGAAGCATCAGCTGAACTCTATGTGAAGAATTGTCAAACCTTGGACTCCACGAGTACAAAATCACCATTGGAGTTAAAAGTTGCAGATGATGCGGTTTCACACATCACATCTTAGATGAAGAGTGTGATTATCCAATTTCGGAGAGTGCAGGAATATCAGTCAAGATGCGCGTAAATATCACTTCTTGGTTAATATAGCCTTGGATTTTTATGCACCTTGGATGACAACTTAGACACGCCAGTGACATCCTATGATATTAAGCTACCTGGAGTATCAGTTTATTCATGTCTATTTAAAACATAGTTTATCCATTTCCATTCAGAGAGCAGTAACTTAGTTGATGCATCTTCGGATGCTCAGGTACCGTGCAAACCTTTTGATGTAGAATTCATATATTTTAGGTGCACCAGGATTGATGTTTGATTGTGATGCTAGATCTTGAGGTCTAGCCTGCCTTACTTCCTGGTTTCATCCATGCCAGACTTGATGGGGTCCTACGATTATTTTGCGATCTTACTCGCTCGTCTGTCTACATGGGGACCGAAATTTAGAAAGTAAACATTTCTGGAAGTGAAGGAGAAAGCTGCAAGCGCAGACAACAAGAATGGGAGGTTGTCATTTATTTACATCTAAAGCGATAAAGTATCCAAACTGGGCTTCGAAAGACGCTGCGGCGAGGGCTGCGGCGAGGTTTTTGCTCGTTGTTTGGCCGAAAGCCTCTGATATTCCGCAGAAAAATAGCATCCGCAAACGGATTTCGCGTCAGAGAGGGCGCAACCGCAGAGCGACAATTCATTCGAAGAAACCGAGCGAGCCTGAGCCTCTGGTACCACCCTATACCACCAAAAGTCCGTCAAACCTGTCAGCAGAGGGGAATGACAGTGACATCCGCCGTGGACATGGGGATATTTAGGGTAAATCAGCCTTCACGTTTGCGGATTCACCTCAGGGTGGCCCGAGCTGACGATGTTCGGTTGCGACCCAGCTCCGACCGTCGGATTGGGCGATTGCCGGACGTTTAAAATCGGACCAACCGGACGTGAAAGACAGCGGTCCCAATGGCGCGCCATGGCTCCCCGCGCGGCAGCAGCTGTTCTTTCTTTCTTTCTGTACGCTTTGTGTGATGCAAGCTGCTCACCCTCCTTCTGCCAGGAGTGCAAAATAACACTAACGAGCTCTGCTCTGCTCGCACACCACTCGACCTCCAAGTTGCCCACTCGCACTCCTCGTCTGCTGCTCGGGACAGCGTTCTCGATTGACATCGAGCGTGGACACACAGAACGCACGGGCGTCCTGGAGAGAGCGCAGTTGGGCAAGCATAGAGAGCCGTGGTTTTTTCGTGCTCATTGGGATCGTCGGCAGCGTTCGCCCGTCCTGCCCTGGGATGCTGTATAAATAGAAGGTCGTCGCGCGAGCTGTTCTCATTGCAAAAGAGAATGGCATAGGTGGACTGCCCAGAGCTTGAGGGAGTGAAATGCTCTAGTCTCTGCGAGACTCGGAGATTTTCCTCTTACGCAGGCGTTGTGGTGTCTTACGTAATCTTGAATTTGTCCTCAACCGTACTGCTCTCTCGTGCATTCTCATCTCTCTTAGCTCCCTTCAGCTCTGTCCGAGCTAGTTTTCACCAAGTTGTCGTCCGGTGTCTTCCACGACTTCGAGCTCTTCTCGTCGAGGAGGCCTCTGCTTTTCCAACGAGAAAGAGATATTGTGCGTTCCAATCATCAGTGAGCAGTATCTTTCTCTTCCTGACTTTCTTCACTGGCGGTGGTCACTGCGTCTCCTGCGCGGAGCACATTGCGGCTCTGCCCCGAGAGAATCACAATCATCCTCCAACGGGCAAGCAATTGACCGTTCTTGTTTGGAATTGGTCAAACTTCCTGAATGGAACAGGTGAGAAAATGTCATTCAGTGCGGCAGGAGTATTCCTTCTGTAGTTGTGTCGTTATCAGCGATCCTGACCAGCAATTACTCAAGTACTTCATGCCTTGTGAGAAAGAATCGGTTCTGGTACAATTCGTGTTCACGTGCTGGGCTGTGGCGAAATGCCGCTTGCGAATCGTGTTTCTTTACGCGGTTTCTTGATTGTCTTCTCTTGAGAGGACACTTATCTTTCAAATCAGCTGCTCGTCTCTGAAGTTCTATGTCTGCACTTGTCAGTATGAGAAAGTGGAGAAGATAGGAGAAGGAACATATGGAGTGGTCTACAAAGCGCGTGATCGTATCACCAATGAAACGATCGCGCTCAAGAAGATACGTCTGGAGCAGGAGGACGAAGGAGTGCCTAGCACTGCGATTAGAGAGATTTCCTTGCTGAAGGAAATGCAGCACGGAAATATTGTGCGGTATGTGAACGCTTACTGGCTTGTTTCAGCCCTCGCGTCCAGCCTGTACTTGAACATTCTTGGGAAGGCTGGTCTTGTGTCCTTCGCCAGAACCAGGATTCTATGATCAGCTTGACGGGGGAGATCGCCGCATTGTTACCGTGACCGACATTGCGTCATCTGATGAGTCCTAGATCATCTGTTTGCCCTTCCGAGTAGAAATTATGAGCATTGGACTTTTCTAGCCGTGGTCTGACTGTCCACTCCTTTATATTGATAGGATAGTTGCTGTTAGTTCCAGCTGACACACGAAAAGGTGTGGAGGATTTTTGTGATTACAAGAGGTCGTCATAAGTTCAGAGTGCGTGCATGGTAATTGCCTGCTTTTGAACCAGAGGCCCAAAGGTTGAGCTTAGTTGAAAGTGTGTTGTCTCTGTCTGTTCGCAGTCTACAGGATGTCGTGCACAGCGAGAAGCGGCTGTATCTGGTGTTCGAATATCTCGATCTCGATCTCAAGAAGCATATGGACACTTGTCCCGATCTCGCGAAGGATCCTCGTCTTATCAAAGTAGGGTGAGCTTCTTTTCCATGTCTCTGTTTTTGTAGGTTAGCATCGGGTAGTTTGAGTACTGATGCTAGTAACAAGCTCTAATTAGTCTCGAACCGGATGACCTCTCTATAAATGAAAGCGTGGCCTCTGTCAAAATTTTAACATCGAGTTCTTATATTCTTATTGCAGACGTATCTGTACCAGATTTTACGGGGTATTGCCTACTGCCACTCGCATAGAGTTCTTCACCGGGACTTGAAGCCCCAAAATTTGCTCATCGATCGCAGGACCAACGCCCTTAAGCTTGCAGACTTCGGTCTGGCACGAGCCTTTGGTATTCCGGTCCGGACTTTCACTCACGAGGTAATAGTCATGTGCTAAAGACAAAGGATCGAAAACTGGATTGCATGTTTGACAGTCGACTACCTGACATGAATTTGACGATTACGGCATGCGACATTCCTTAGAATTAGCTGTTGACTCAGATTGGCCGGATTGCAGGTAGTGACCTTATGGTACCGAGCTCCGGAAATCCTTCTCGGGTCAAGGCACTATTCCACACCTGTCGATGTGTGGTCAGTCGGGTGTATATTTGCAGAGATGGTAAATCAGAGGCCTCTGTTTCCAGGGGATTCTGAAATTGATGAGCTCTTCAAGATCTTCCGGTAGGTAGCACTGTCAGATCACCAAATTTGAAGGCATAAAACTGTAGTATGATTGTAGCCTAAGGTAGTCGCGTTCTTGTTTTGAGATAGCTTTATTGAAAATAAGGGGTACACACACACAAAACTCATTGAAAGAGAATTGCATAGAGATAATCTATGCAGTGGTGATCTGGTGTAAACTCGTCGTCAGAACCCTTACGGTTTTTAGTATTCCAGCTCGTGAAAGCTGGTAGAGCCCCTGATTTAAAGCGCCACGCCGCGGTATCTCGCAGGACACTTGGCACACCAAATGAAGAAACTTGGCCAGGCGTCACGAGCTTACCTGATTACAAGTCAGCATTCCCGAAGTGGCCCCCAAAGGTGAAGATTTTTTCTCTGAGCTACGTCTTGAAAGAAACTTTTGAAGTAGTGTGCCAATCCCTCTCTCGTGAAGGAGGACCAATACGAGCATGATGATTAAAAGCGCTCATTTATACTTTTGTTCTAATCGTTTGAGATGAATCTATTTTTGCGCTTTGAAAATTCTTCCGCCGTATGTACTGACCAGAAAGCATTTCTTGAAAGCCTCCTTACTTGCTGTGATCTGGGAAGTTTGAAATTCAAATCTTTCTAAGTTAGTGAAGCTGATGTTTTCGAGAATTTTGAACAGAACCTCTCCACAGTGGTACCAGGTCTCGAGCCGGGAGGTATCGATCTGCTCGCTGTAAGTATTGTTATTTATCTCTCTGAGCCCTCCGAAGGTTAAGGATTCAATTGGGTTCTGCGTTTTAAGGTGACCGGTGCCAAGTTGAATTGTTTACCCGAAATATGAGAAATTTTATTGTTGTGACGGTCTCTTCCCTTTGGGCCCTAAAGCAAATAGTTGGTCAACTTTAGAGTGTAATTAACCAGGTCCAGAAGATTTGAGTATAATAATACTAGTCAATGCTCACCATGTGTAATTTTTTCTCAATTTTGGTTTGATTAGTTGGTAGAACTCTGTTCTCTGGAATTTCATCTGTTTTGATACTTCCGTCTGATTTATTTTGTGCAGAAAATGTTGACTCTGGAGCCAAACAGGAGAATTACCGCTCGGGATGCACTGGATCACGAGTACTTCAAAGATATAGGACCGGTTCCATAAACTGTCTGTGTTACTGCTGTACCATACATACCCCTCTGTAGTTTTTTCCAACAAGGTGCATCTGTCTTCTGTCGTAGAAATGATATATTTACAGGATGAGGTTGGAGACAGAGTGAGATTGGAGCCGCTTTAACCTCGATATCTCTGGTGAATTATAGGGGAGAAGTGATTCTTAGGAGAGATATTTTTGTACCTGCAATCTCTTCTTTGACCTTGCCTCGGAGGGTTTGGCAAGTGTGATTCTATTTGTACCCATTGTCAGCTATCAGTAGCTAGCGAACAGCAAGTTACTAGACTCGGTGGACATTTGATTTTATCCTAACATGGAATGTGAGTGTACCAAATTTTTTTTGACCGGTGTTAAAACTTGAGTGTGAATCATGCATGGATATTGTAGTTGGGTGAACGCTCGAATAAACATTTGAGTTGAGATTCGTAGTCAACCTTCTCATGGGTCAGATAGCCACAAAGGAGGGGCCTGTCTGGAGCCACGAAGGGTAGACAAGATAATTTGACAATTTGCCTCGTTGTACATCGACAAGAAACGGATTGCAACAATACACGTTCATTTGGTATACACTGTTTACTTCAACGTCGTTGAATTACGGAAAAACCCCTTGAAGCATCTGCACCAAATATCGACACGATATGCCTGATCACCAAATATGTGACGAAAACCACAGCGAAGATCACAAGACTTCGCTCGATCAAATCAAGAATTAAAGCCGGAATGTCAATCTACAATGATGATTAATAACTACAATCTCATCACTTCGAATTACTGCCGATAGCTTAACGAAGTAATCCTATCCTTTTACTACATCACTCAGTACTCCGCGCCTCTTTCACCAACTGAAGACAGAAATACGCCAAATTTAATTAGTTATTCAATCTAACTAGCTTACTAGCATACCGGTGTCTCACTGGTAGCCCTGGACCAATTTCAAGGTAGACTACACGGGCCATCTGCAGATTGCCTTCAAAGAGTAGCGGAGAACGTCTTCCACCACAACTGCGATAAAACTAGGATAACCTGCCCATTGATCAGCCAATGATGTGGAGAAATGTACTCGGGGATCCTACGTGGCAACAACAGCAGCCGGTCGAAGGTGGACAAAGTGAGACGACGCGGGCTTTTCTTTTCGCAGGCGTGCTCTTTGTCAAGTCATTCGCTCCCTAGACAACTGTGCCTCATCCTCTCCTATCTGGCAACTTGGTTCTTCTAGAACTGTGATGAGAAGGCCTTGGGCGTATGCATACTCTGCGCAGTTCGGTGATGGATTTTGTCAGTTTTTGCTGTCGGAATTTGTTTGCAACATTCCAAATACATACGCTGATCAGAGTGGACTGTGAGAATTCGTTGGGATAAGTTCGCGCACTTGACCCGGAGCGGTAGTGGTCACTGTACTATACCTGAGTCTCTTTGACTTCTGATCGGTGAGTCAAACCGATATTTGTGCCAAAAATCTAGTGCGCGAGTTACCATCTCGCGCGCTAGATCGGTTCTTCCGTCTAGGTGCTTAAGAATACTCTTATCTACCTAGCTCCATGACCGCAGCTGTCAAATGCTGGTGCGGATCGTCTTCTGAATTGATCGTTCAGAATGAACGAAAGTCTGAATTCAAGCTCAAGGCAATTGCGTAATTGAAACATCGACACGTTGAGTAACTTATTGGACCATGTATCGAAAGATCGAATTCATTACCAATTAGCACATTAGTCCTTACATCCAGCGTGTAACTTTTGGTTGGCAATGACATGTAAAGGCAGTACTAGTTCGAGAGATCGACTCATCACTTTTCTTTAGGGTGAAGTTCAAAGAGAGGAAGTGGATCACAAAATCTGGTTAAAAAACTTTCTCTCCTGACATTTAGTCGAGGATTTTGTAACTTCAGCCCAAAGCAACTGCCACTGTCAAGGATGTGCTTCGCTCAATATGTCATAATTCTTATTCGCGCTGGTTGGAGTATGTGATTTATTGCGTGTGTGGTAGTGGTATTCAATGGATGGCACAGTAAATCCATAAGATGCAGAGACCACTTATAAACTTGTTATTGTACCGCATATGCAGAGGAGAGGATAGGATATAAGCACGATGTTGTCTGACCAAGAAATATATAAGCATCTTGAATACAGGACAGACCCCACCTTTTTAAAAGGCGACAGGGAAGATAAGGAAGTTTTCTAGAGGGAGGGGTGGGGTGGGGGTTTCTAGGCTAAGATCTTTGATCAAGGAGAGAGGGCAGGTGAAGAGCATTCATGTCCCCATGGGTTCGTTGATTTGTGTGTGCCGAGGGTTTCACAGGAATAAATGCCGAAATCACGTGATAAATGCAAGAGTAGTAGAAAGGTTTCATAGAAATCAAAGTCATAGGTAGATACAGTAAAGCTGGGAATAGAGATCATGAGCCACCGGATCCGACTTCCGAAAACGCTCTTGCTGGAACCAAGGGAATGTTTGAACGACGAAAACACTCGGGGACGGATGAGCTATGTCGTAGACAAGGTTTGTAGGCAAGAGTGTAGCCGGACTGAAAAAGCTGCCACACATTCTCATACTGTAGTGCTCGCACGAGCGATAAGGCGTACGTGGCCAGCCGAGAATCCGAAAGGTTGTGGAGCACTCGGGCCTCGCTTGAGCTAGCTAGATACACTTGGGACGTTCTACAACATCAGCTTCTGCGTTCCCTCCGTCCCAAAAGCTCGCACATTGGCGAAGTATGGAATGTAGGACACGCGACTGGAGGTTTCAGGCGTCTCTCTCTAATCACTCGCTCACCGTGTAGGCCTCTGGCTACCGTAGTAGGCCAGACACAGACATTTGGGCCGTACGTGACACTGCGAACATTCTCCACACAATACATGTCTCTACCGTTACCGATCGGCGAGCGGGACGTATTGCTGCTGCTGCTGCTGCTGCTGCGGGCTGCCAGTCTTCTCACGAGGCGAACAGGAGAACCGACCGTATGAACGCGTAGAGCATTCCACTCCTCGAGCGAAGTCTGCAGGCTGCACTCATCGAAGCCTCCTGCACATAATGCGGTCGCGCAAGGACCGTAGACTGGCCATGCTCACAGACCGACCGTCAATCCGTAGATCGCCTTCGTTCCAGAGTCGCTCTCATCTCTCTCGATCGGCCCCATCGCGTCGCCCTCCGTGTACAGACGACCTGGACACGGAATGTATCGGAGGCCTACGCGGGACGAGCTGGGGAGCAAGACAACACCTATGGCGCTGCGGCCAATCAAAATCGCGCGAAAGATTGAGTCCTGCGGGGTGGCCATGGACATCGATGGCGATCCCAGAACATGGGAGCGTTCCCCGAGGCACAACGCCCTCGTCCCACTGTTCGTTCGGTGGGCTCAGGGCTGACCGACTCTCGCCCCGCTCGCATCCAAAATGTCGCCTGACTCCGGAATCTGGACTTTCCTGCCAATCTGCACTCTCTGCAGAGCGACCAATCGCCGCGCGATCTATCACGGCCAGCGTCGCCCCCGAGCCCCGTCCTTCCGCATGTCGAGTCCACCCTCGGGCCTGTTCCGCGAGTTGAGGCCAGAGCCCTTGTAAGAGACAATCATACCAGCGCTCCAGAGCCCAGAGAGCGCAGACCATTCACGCCCCCACAGATGGCAGTTCACCTAAACCCCCAGCCTCATGCTCTTTCAACCGCCGGAACGCCCTGAGGGCCCTGAAGGCGATAGACAAGGATCCTTGACTCCTCACGCTGTCACGCTGCGTCTCAATTTCTCATACCCTCTGCAAATCGTGGGGTGGGCTGCTCATCACGGGGTTTCAGACCAGGCCTGCAAAGTCGTGGACGTCACCGCATCCGGTCTGCGTATGGGCCCGCAGAAAGAGACGTGAAGGACTGTCTCGCCCGAAGAGCTGACCGCGAAACACACCAATTTAATCGACAGCCAAGCGAGATCGTTGCTCAATCCGAGCTGTGCCGATCGAATCGTACGAGTTCGTTTTATCCATTTCCATGTTGGCTCATTTCGAACGAGCATGAAATGGGAATGAAGTTCACCCCGACCGACAAACTCTTTCCTGTCGAGGTGGTTTCGAGACCTCATACCTGGAAGCAGACTTCCGAAGCAAAGATCCTGAATTTACCACTTGCGATGAATTGCGCTGCATACGAAATTGGAGCGTGAATGCCCTCGCACCTTGCCTGGAAAATCCTCGACCCGGGCCATACGCCACCAACATTTTGGGGCCGAATTGCAAGGCACAGTACAGTACGGTCAAGGACTGCCCTGTGCAGGAAGGATGGGCTTGGCGTCAAGTTACTCGAGTAGCGAAAGAGCAAAGAGGTCTAGGGGAACTTGGGGGAGTGAGCAGAGGAGTACGGGGGCATGGCGCAGTGGCAGACTGGCAGGGCAATGGCAAGTGCAAGAGCAGTCCGTTGCTAATGATGGAAGGGGGTGAAATCAGGCTCCTTGGTTCACTCGATGGCACTCAGAAAAAGCACCCCCGCGTACCCAAAATCAATCCATACGTCTTCCTTTCAGGAGTGAGCACTGCTCTTTCCTCCTTTGGCAGCTTTGGGGGTCTCATTATTTCACAATAACTTCTGTAAATGAGTATCGTATATTTCTGTATTAATGAAAGCCGATATTGGAACTTTATTAATTTACATTTCGCTGAAAAGTTACATCCCCTTAATAAAGTTGAGCCAGTGAAGATATTCTGCACAAATATTTCTCTTCTTGGGAGTACTGTACTGTGGTAGTTCGTTGAGAGCATAACGACTGTGACGTATCGTCCTTCCTGTGGTACTTGCATTGAGCAGATTTATCATCTGATTCATGTCTTACATTCTTGCAGTGTACCTTGGAGCTTATCAAAGGTCAATGAAAATTCTTTATTGCGTTCGCAGAGAACAACTATACTGTGGTAACACTTCCAACTAATGCTGATCAGAGCAGTAAGTACAGCGCACAGGGTATAAGATCAGACTTTCGTCAGGATATTTGTCGTGTCATTCATATGGCAAAGGACAGAATAGAAGGAGGATAGTAAAGAGCCCATAGTGGAGTACAAGATAGATAAATGAATAGTTTAAAAGACTTGTCTAGTATCTAGGTTTATCTACTTTTTAAGTAATAAACGAGGGTTGGGAGCTGACATTCAATGGCAAGAGAATATCATACACATGGATTACATGTCCACTTTCAGTAACCTCTTACTCTCTATGACATGTTCACGAATCGCCTGAAGCTAGAATTAATTTTTGCTTTCAGTGTCATATCGAAAGGTGTACTAGGATACACCCACGTGTGATTAGAAAAAAGGAAAACAAATATCTTCATGTTAAGAATGAAGGGCAGTTTGGTGAAAATATTCCTATTTACTATTGTAAATAGGAATATTTGATTTTTTATCACGCAAATATGACAAAGAAGATTGTTTACGAAAAAACAACAACGAAGACCAAGAAAATTCCAGTACTCTTGCACAGGAAAGAACATACTAAAAATCACTCGTATATCTGCCTATAAATTTCTGTTTTTTCTAAGAAATGACAGCGCAGTAAGTACACCATGGCCGTAAAATACATCACGCATTTCTACTGGGAGTTGAATCGTGGTAATGATGATGACATATCCAGTATTATTTACACAGAGCTACTATATATATATATATATATATATATATATATATAGATAGGATATGTATACGCGTTTGGATAGCATTGCAGTAATGAGTAACTCTAATGTGAACCATCTATTTCATGGTGTATTATGCACTTCATTTAATTCTTCAACAAACCAGCTCGGTCTACTCAAAGAATGGACTTTCACCTCACTATTTCATTCCAAATATCAGTGTAATCTCATCCAATTATGCTTTACCGATATAAAAAAACTGTCCGAACAATGAATACTTAACCAAAAATACGCGTGATTTTAGCGACATACAGAGTAGTAATTAGAGCAAACATGGATAGGCAACTGGTTATCTCCTAATTAAATCAAAGTCTAACAAAGTTTCAGGAACGTTAATTCTCTTAAAGAATATTCTAGCCGAATTTTGTCAAGTTGAATCAACTTCCTTTCATTCCGTCAACTAGAAAACCCTTTCCTAAAACATGATTGGATGAATGTGATCCAGAGAAGTAATGAATGAAACCGTTAGATATGAAACAAATTTCAATAACTCATCCCACATGAAAGCATTTTGTTAAATTGATTTCTTATTGGATGCAAACCAGATTGTGAGATTCACGATATTCGTACCCGTTTCCTGCTAGCAATTGACCCATAACTAGTATATTCTCCAATCTTATGAAAATGATGTCACATCATGTGATTGATATGGGGAGAGGTAACCAGGGCGACAAGTAAATATCGTAGGGTACTGCACATTAATACGCACCAGCGTTCAGCGCTGCCTTTATTCCCAGCGTAGAGCAGGAATGTGCTCCGAATGCAAGTTTTTCAGATATATGAAGTTGCACAATTCTTCCACGATCGACTTCTGCTATGATCAAAACTAAGGTTATCGATCAATCCATTTGGAAACCTGAGGTGCTAATAATATATAAATATTTCAGTATGTAAACTTGATACTTCGAATGGCCGGTTATATCAGCATTAAGTCAAAACTATTTTAAGTAGCTATCTGCGCTTTTATTTGAAACATTTATCAAAAGTTTTGAAATGTCATATTCACGAATTTGATTCAATAATCATTGCAAAATTGATTTATCTATCATATAATTCAAGAATAAATATATCTAATCAAAAGGCAATATAAAATACTTCAAAAAAATTTGAATAAAAACTCAGGATATGTTTTAATGTATTTATGTTGTAACTTCATGCCATAACCTAATCAAGTTATTCTTATGGAATTTTCAACTCAACTATTATACATGTGTAGCACAAAGAGTTAAACAAGAAAATATGTGATCCATCATTGCAGAGGAAATTACTTGATGAGACCCCATTGAAACACAAATTGATTGATGTGACTCATCAAGTTTCATTTTACCCGATGAGGTTCCAGAGACGCAAGTGCGAAGACAAATTTCAACACTAACCTTGGATTTCAAAGGATGTTGGGCTTACAAGAGAGCATTCAAGAGCATAGAGGTTCGAATTATGTCTTCTTTTGTTTGAAAATAATTGATCCTCATGAACCTAGTCACCAGTACTTGAAAGCTACGAGTTGCTCTACGCACTTAATTGAATTACTCATTGATGAGCTCGTTGTCTGTTCAACAGTCCACACACATCAGTTGCAATCAAAAAAGCCACAACAATTTGCACAACAAAAGTTCTAGTTGCAATCATCTTTGAGAAATCACAACATAAGCATAACACGACGTAAGTTCTTTGTTCAACTTGGAGTTGGGCTTTGAGACGAATCATTCTTGAATCAAATGTATTCCTGCATTTTGCAAATTTGAATAGAATTTGAGTACATCAGATTGAAATCCACTCCAATGATAGTGCTAGTATCTTAATGTCATAAGCGAAGTTGGTCATAAAAGTAAAAAGCGAGTATTTATAATAAACTTGATGATAGTGTCCCGTCTGTGTTACAATGGGATTCCATCAATAAAATTCCTCATCATTGTAAAGAACAACGTATGTTTTACTCAAAGATCTATTAGTTTATATCACCGAGTACTTTGGACAAAAGTACTCTGTGTATAAAAGTACTCGATGCACAAAAGTACAAATGTTAAATAAAGATAAAACATACCATATAACATAAAAAATATTATAACTTAAGAGTTTACATATCTTAATCATATCTTAATCAGGGGCGTCTACTGCGTCCGAGCGGGGTTGTAAAACCCCTTCTTTCGTAAAGCCAAATAAGGAAAATCGTCAAGCCATTTTCGCGCACTCCTTGACGAAAGGAGGCACGTAGTGCAAAGACCTGAGGGAGAGGTGCGTAGCACTCAACCAGAGGGATAACACTTTACATTATCTAAAACCTTAGAAGCATAAAAGAGAAAACCAAAAGAAGAAAACGAGCACGTTTGCCGTATAATGGAATTCATTGATGGCGCTTTGAAAGATGCTTTGGGCCCTGAAACTTCAAAGTTTATAAGTGGTGAGAAAATTCGACGAATTCGTCGTATCGGTGCACAAGCTCTTATACCCAGAGTCCAAGGTTGAGCGAAAAGAATCCACGGGTCCAGGCCCGGAAAGGGACGCCTCCACGAACTCAAACGGCTCGCAACTCCAGTCTCCACTTATTGCTATGAACTTTCAATCTTATAATTGAACATCTCTCCATATGCCTTTTGAGTATGGTGCGCAACAAGGCCAAAGAGACGGGCCGGCCCTACCCTTATCATGGAAGGGATAGCCCTGATGTAGTGGATTACCTATATCACTAGGGCAAGGCCGCATAGAATGGAGGCTATGCGCGCAACCGAGTAGCTTTGAGGATACTGAAAGTAAGCAAAATTAGGTTTCGGGTGACCCGATTTATCACAAAATCCCTTCTCTGCCAGACGGTTTATAACTTTCTGCTTCGACAAAATACCACACTCCACCATCATGAAAAGGCTGACGGCCTTGATAAAATGTCAACGGACCTTGAACTGGTTATGAAACCCCTGAAAGCGCGTTATGCCGCACTCTGCGCCACGCCCCGGGGCCGTCTTAGGCTTCTAAGAACCAATAACACGTAAACTATGTAAAACTAAAGCAAATCAATATACAAAAAACACAGTCCGACAAAACTTTGGTAAATTGCCCTGGACAACCGCCATCCTGTTCAGCAAATTGAATTTGTTTTTTCTTAACCAAGCCCCTAATAGATATCGAAGTCATGATGGACTTCGTGTAGCGTCTTTTTTCTTACACCAGACTGGGATGAATATTCGTAGATTAGGGTAGCTATCCTCTTAGCACTATCGAGTCTTAGACCCCGAAGGAATACATGGGTCGTAGATGCCGAAGGGCTTTCCGGAAGGGCAGCACGAAGCCAATACATAGGCTTGGCTGCTCCGCACCTTAAGGCTTGTGGGGCGGGCCTCAATCCAAACCCCATGGTCCAAGGGACGCGAGACTATAGGGAGAGGTGCTACGCACTTTGGGTGTACGAAGGATCCGAAGGTGCGTAAGCACTTTCCAGACCCACAAAGTTCAGCGCGGGCCGGAGAAAGTTATAGTTGAATAGGACGCCAAAATAGGGAAGTCGGAAGGTAAGGTCGCCCGGCGTGCTTACAAAAAGGTCCAGGATTCTTACAATAAGGCCGGGAAGGGCTACAGCAGGCTTGCAGGGTCCGTATAGATAAATGATTGAGGGGGAGCACCTTAGACAACAAGAGAATCCGTTATTTCCCGACGCGCTTAAAGGCGCAACTCCTAGCGCACCTTCAATTTACGAAGAGTACTGCCGCTTAAGTTTGCTTCTTCGGCAGTTAGTTGATTTTATATAATTCTTGGAATGGCTTTACAGTTGGAATATAGATTTTGTCGCGAAACAGAAAGCTTTTATGCGTTTCGCTTATCGCACCGTAGATATTTATGCTATGGTTTGAATGGTAAACAAAAACAATTAATAAAAAATACGAATTATTAGATATGGCTAAAACTAAACAAATCAAGAATTTTACTTTTCATTTTGGACCTCAACATCCTGCTGCTCATGGTGTTTTACGATTAGTAATGGAAATCAATGGAGAAATGGTAGAACGCGCGGAACCGCATATTGGATTACTCCATAGAGGCACAGAAAAATGAATTGAGTATAAAACGTATCTTCAAGCTTTACCTTATTTTGATCGTTTAGATTATGTTTCTATGATGGCCCAAGAACATGCTTATTCTTTAGTTGTAGAGAGACTTTGTAATTGTGAGGTACCTTTACGAGCTCAGTAATTATTATTATTATTTATAAAAAAAAATTTGCCTTGTATTTTGAATGTATGATAGCATTTCAGTTTTCAAAAATAATAATTATCACATTTAGAGCAGCCAATATTTGTCTTTGACTCTTCTTAATTATTCATTATGATATATTTTTCCATTAATATAGTAAGTGATTTTTGAAATTTTAAATATATAAGTGAGTATTTTTAAATTTAAAATTTGAATCTTCTTTATTTTGTAACACGTTAATTGAAATTTGAATGGTTCAATTGGCCATATGACTTTCAACTTTGTGCAAGGA